GGCGAGGGAGGGATGCCCACCCAGACAGAGATGGGCTTTGGGTACCCAGGGTCCACCGAGCGTGTGTCCTCATTGAAGCGCCAGTATCTGGGGAGGGAGGTGGGGGGTAAGTGACAAGCACAGGGGTTCCGCTGCCCAACATTCTCCCCCCTGGCAGAACCCCAGACACTCACCTGTCCCCACGGAAGAAGAAGGTGTGTCCCGTGGGTTCCCACCAGACGGCTGTGTCAATGCTGTCGTAGGGGATGCCCTGCCCGTAGGTGACCAGGGGCTGTGGGTACCCAGGCTCCAGGTTGGCTTCTCGGAAGAGCCAGTACCGGTCACCTAGAGGGAGAAGAGTTGGAGAAGGGGGATGAGAAGGTCCTGCCCAGCTGCTGTAGCAGGTGCACAAATGGATAGGGATAGTGGTAATGCCTGTGGCCACCCTGACTCCTTGGGATCACACAGCAGCTGTGGCTGGGGAGGTGGGTCAGGATGAGATGAAGCCAACCAGCTCTCAACAGCTTTGTGGGAGGCACTGGGGTCTCGCTTCCACCTCAGCCCTCCCATCCAGCTTTCCTGCTCACCTTTAAAGAAGACGAACCTCCCGTCATGCCTCTCATAGGCAGCATCAATGTCCCCAGGGAGGCCCCGCCAGAAGTGTCCGATGGGCATGGGGTAATTGTCCAGCACCCGGTTGTGCCGGACCCTCCAGAACCACCGGCCCTGGAAAGAAACGGGGTTGGCACAGGATGGGGAGGACACAGGGACACAGTCACCTTGCTGAGGGGTCCTCCCACCCACAGACCCACTACATCCCCAAGGAAGGGGCAGGAGTGGGTCCTGGCAGGTACCTTGAATACAAACATCTCCCCACGCAGCACCGCCACGGTGTCGAAGTCCCCATCGCAGATGTCAGGGCCGTACTGGTCAGGTCGGTCTGGGCTGCCAGGTTTGGGTGGGCGCTCTGGTTTCCCCGGAGGGGGAGGTTTAGGGGGTCTCTGGTCAGGCCTGCCAGGTCTCCGGGGTGTCACGGTGGGCAAAGGCTTGGTGGGCTGAGGGTGCCCATCTGCGGTACCTGGATCGGGCAGGTGAGAGAAGGGATGTGATGATGCAGACCAGCAACACCTGTACCTCAGTTTCCCCACACGCATGCCCAGAATCCCACCTCTGGGATGATCCCCCAACCAACTCCTCACCGTAGAGCTGCTGGATGCCCTTGAGGTCATCCTCAGGCAGCTGGAAGTTCTCTGTGTCCATCCACTGGTAGAAGGGTGCCATGATAGCACTGGGGTTGCTGGAGTGCTCCAAGCCCAGTGAGTGCCCCAGCTCGTGCACAGCCACCAGGAAAAGGTTGTTCCCTGCATGGAGAGGCACCATCAGCAAGAGGGGGTGAACATGACACATGAGGCAGACTCCTGAACCCAGCATCCGGCAACAGGGGTGCTCTAGTGGGATCAGCCTGCATACCCATGGTGGACCTGCTCTCCCTGCCAGTCCTGTCCACACCAGCACAGCTCCCCCCTCCACCCACAGTGGCCACCAGGCTCCTCTGGTCACCTTTACAACCTCCTTGGCCCTCAACTCACCAGACACATCTGCATTCTCCAGTGTCCAGGGCTCATCCAAGTCGAAATGCGTGTCCCCCCCCATGCCAGGGCCGGGAAAATAGGCATGAGCCAAAAATCCCCCAAGGCCATCAAAGGGAGAGCTGTCTCCATGGAATCCAGAGGCAAAGAGCACCATGATGTCAGCCTCCTTCTTCCTCTTCTGCCGGATGTCCTCGTAGGCCACCTCCCGGAAAACCAGCGGCGTGGCTTGCTCCCACACGCGGAAAGCTCGTCGGACAGCCTCGTGGGAGTGGTACCGACCCAGCTTCTCCGTGTAGTTTTGGATGCTGGGGATACAGAATTCACTAGAGAAGGCCTGGAGCAGCACTTTGAGGGGATCTATGGGTCACCATGGGCCTGGGGGAGGGAATCCCTGGCCGTGCTGGGTACCTGAAGGTGAGGTGGCTCTGGCTCCAGCGCCGCCCTGTCAGCGCGTACCGCTTCCGACGCATGTTGGACTTCATCCGCGCTCCAAACTGATCCGGGACCCCACAGCGGGGACGTTTCATCCACCTGCCAGGAGGACACCGAGCCAGGGCTCAGCCCACCACAGCCAACATCCCTGCGGGGTTACAGCACCCACACACAGCAGGGACACAATCCTGGCTGCAGAGGTGCAGCCCCCAAAAGGGGAGAAGCACAAGGGGAACAGCACCCACTCTTCCAGGTGCCAGCAGAGCCCCAAGGCTGTCAGAGAAAACCACAAAGCCCGAGAGTGGAGCTGCCATCTGCCTGAGCAAGGGGACAATGGAGAAACTCACGCCTTGGTCTCCTCGTCCAGGACGCCGGTGACGGTGATGCCGTAGAACTTCTGCATCTCGGCGAGCGCGGCGGAGAAGGTCTGGGCCGAGCGCATGGTGGACATGCGGCGGCTGGGCTGCGGCAGGTACCCGTAGAGCCGCAGCCATGCCTGGCCGGGAGAGCCACGCGTCAGCCCGGCACCGAGCAGCCCCGGAGCTCCCCAGCGCCTGCTGGGGAAGGATCTGCCCCCGCCTGCCTGCACCTCAGCCCCACGGCCCTTCACAGGGCGGTCAGTGGCAAATGCCACTCTCGAGCAGGCAGCGCTGCGGCAGCAGGGCACGGGGTCCCTGCCCTGCCCTGCAAGGTGAGGGAGCCGGGGATCTCAGGGGGCTGCTGCCGGATGGGCCGACTCCAGGGACCAGGCAGCTGGCAGGGGGCCAGGCTGCCTGCGGGCTGCCTGTCCCTGTCCTCCTCCGGAGGCGTCCCCTGGGAGCTGCCGAGGGATGTGAAGCCTGGGACCCCCACCCCGGCCTGCACCCACAAAGGAGCTTCTGTCCTGCGGGGCTGCAGCCCCAGGGCGGGGGGCAGGAGGGTGCTGGGGCGCGCCGGGGCTCTTCCTTCCTGCCCCAGCCTCCACCTCCTCTTGTCTACTTTAATTGCATTTTATTTTTATCTTTATTATTACTCTTTTGTAACTTTTTTTTCCCTCCTAGTTTTCACTTATATTTTCCAAATTAGGGGGGTTTTCCTTTTAATCTTTAAAGCTTTTTTTTCTAAATTCCTTCCAATTCTTTTTCCTTTTCCAAGTCTTATTGCTCTTCCAAGTCTTTTTCCTTTTCCAAGTCTTCTCCAGGTTCTCCAATCCTTTTCCTATCCCAATTCTTTTCCTATCACTTTTTTTTTTTCCAAAAACGGCTTAACATTTTAATTGCTAAAAACACTAAATCTATTAAATTCTTCTACCCCCACTCCCTTTCCCCGGCAGGGTGGTGGAGCAGAGCCTTTATCAAAAGCCCTTTCACCCCCTCCCCCGCCGGGCACAAAGCGCTTCCTCCCCACACCCCGCACCCGCCGCCCGCCACCCCCGGCGGCGACCTGCACCCCGCCACCCCGTTCCCCGCCTGCACCTGCCCCGGCCGGCGGTGCGGCGGCCCCGCAGGTGCCGGTGCGGGGGTGCGGAGCCCCGGGCCCGTGCCTCACCTCGGCGTTGATCTCCTCGCCCGCCGCCCCCGCCAGCAGCACCAGCAGCACCACGAGCGGCGGGAGGCGCCCGCCCGCCCGCCAGGGGGCGCCGCCCCCTCCTGCCATTCCGCGCCGCCGCCGGGTCGCGGCTGCCCCCGGCCGCGCCGGGCCGGGCCGGGCCGGGCCGGGCCGAGCGCGGCGGTGTCGGAGCTACGCCGCCCTCATGGCCCGGGGCCGAGCCGCCGCGGGGGGCTGCGCACGGTGCATGGGAGGCGCTGCCAGGCGCGGCCCGTCGCCTCCCGGCCCGCCTATTGTGCGTGAGGTCAGCACGGCGGACCGAGGCACATTGGCGACCGGAGGGGCGCGGCTCCTCTCAGCAACCCTGCCGCCCTCTGCCCGCCGCCGGGAGCACCGGAGCGGCTGGCGGAAGGCGGGCGCGGCGGCGGCGGCGGCGGCGGGGAGCGGTGGGAGCGGGCGGGGCGGGGCCGAGGCGGGGGCGGGGCCGCGGTGGGGCGGGGCCGGCGGGGGCGGGGCCGCCCCCCCGCACGTGTGTGCGCGGCGGGCACAGACCCCAGAACCGGGCACAGACCCTCGAACCGGGCACAGACCCCCGCACTGGGCACAGACCCTCGAACCGGGCAGAGACCCCCGCACCGGACAGAGACCCCCGCACCGGGCACAGACCCGCACCGGGCACAGATCCCCGAACCGGGCACAGACCCGCACCGGGCACTGACCCCGCACCGGGCACAGACCCCGCACCGGGCACAGACCCCCGAACCGGGCACAGACCCCGCACCGGGCCCAGACCCCCGGACCGAGCACAGATCCCTGAACCGGGCACAGACCCCCGCACTGGGCACAGACCCTCGAACCGGGCAGAGACCCCCGCACCGGACAGAGACCCCCGCACCGGGCACAGATCCCCGCACCGGGCACAGATCCCCGAACCGGGCACAGACCCCCGAACCGGGCACAGACCCCCGCACCCAGCCCTGCGGCAGCCGCCACATCCCCGACTTCGCCCCCACAGCCACCGTGCCCTGTCCCGGGGGTCTCTGACACCCGGTGTTACACAACCGGGTGCAGTGCCAGGCCCGGCTGGGGCCGGTGGTTGAGCATTAACCTGGGAGAAACCGGTTTCACTGAAGTCCCCAGGGGCTAAATATATCTCTGTTTGTTTTTCTTTGCCCCAAAAGAAACTTATCTTGCAGATCCCCATCCCGGAAACTAACTGGCTAAAGACTTAACAGATTTTTTGTTAAGCACTTCAAAAGGCTGCTGGCAGCGGCAACTGGCTGCGATGCTCCCAGGGACACAAATCCCGACTGTCTGGAGATGCTCCCACAGACAAAGCCACTCTCTGTGCCAGGACAGGCAGCATGGAGCTCACAGGAGCACTTACAGAAGTGGTCTCACGTGAAGCTTTGCAGGAGTTGTGCGTGTCTAAAAGGAAACGGCTGAAATACACCACAGACACAATTTTATGACTTGAGGAAACAGATTTTTACTGTTCAGAAGTCCTGGACAGACATGGAATAAAAGATTCAAGGCATCACATCAACATCCTGTTCCAACTACCTGAGAAGTTGCAGCTGACCAACCCACAGGGACAAAAGCATAAAAAGGAGTTTCTCCCAAGGGACAATGTCCAGCCTGTGATCCCCTGGCTCATCATCCACCTGGGGTGCTGATCACACAGTGTGGAGCCTGGGCAGGAGCCGCCACCCCTTGACTCACCTGTGGGCACTGCCCTCCCAGCTCAGGCAAACACTGACACTGTCTGTTCCAGGGCTCACCCACACCTGGCAGCAAGCCCTTGCTCTTTGGCAAAAGGATCAGACACTGAAATGTCTCTACAGAGGCAGCAGCAGTGTGAGAGGGACACAACATGACTCAGGAGCTTGTCCGAGCTGGCTTACAGTAGGAAAACACTCAGGGAAGAGGATCCAGCTCCATGTCCTTCCCTCTTGCTACTCAAAACATGCCCAGAGCCTCCCTACAATCTGGCAGTGCTACTTCCCACTGTGTGAGACACTCTCCCTTTAGTAGCAGCTTCCCACGCTACCTTCTTCCTCCTTCCCATAAGGCATCTATGGCTTTTGAAGAATTTTTTTTTCTTTTTTCTTTTTTTTTTTTTTAAATCAGCAAAATTAGCGACCGTGGGATGTCTGGAACCGCCAGTGCTGACTGCAGCACATCCAGCAGCAGGGATGAAATCTGCTACAAGCACACTTTTCTTCGGGCAGCAGCTCAAACTGGAAGTGGCCTGACTTGAGGCCACCAATGCCGCAGAGACGCTGAGCAGGCAAGAAGAGCGCAGAGGTGCGTGAGAGCCCACGCCACCCAGAGCTGAGCCAGACTGCAGCCCTTGTTCCAGGGTCAGGCTCTTCGGGGCTCCAAAAGGCACAGCCCACCCGCCCCTACCTCAAGGGGAAGGAGAAGTACTTGTTCCCTGACTTGCAGCGGATCTGCTCCCATTGGATACGCAGCAGGAATGCTGACTCCTCAAACCCATCCACAATGTCCTGGAAAACAGAGGCAGGAGTCAGTACCAGGAGAGTGGATCTGCCAGAGGATGGAGCTGGCAGCTCCCTGTCTGAAGCAAGTCATAGATGAAGCCATTTGCAGCTGGAAGCCTCAGGAGGGTGATTTAACTCATGCTCCCCCCAAAAGCTTCTCATCTTTCAGCCCACTGAAGTTTGTCCTGCTCAGTTGAAGAGAATGTCCCACTCTGCACCCCAGGCAGGGAGATGTGGCTGGAGTCCAGCTCTGCCCTCCCCCTGCTCTCCACACCACCCCATGTCTGTGGGGACACACCTGGAGCTCCTGCAGACACTGCCCTTCCAGCCTGCCAGCCAGGTCCCCCACGCACCAGGCCAAGCTGATGTGGAACGATGGGTCCTGAAGGCAAAACAAACAGGGATAAGAATGTGAGGGCTAAAGGAGGCTTTGCTCAATGCACAGAGCCACAGTGGGACATCTGGCATGATGCTGCTGCCCTGCCTGGGATCACAGAGGCTGGAGGATCCCAAAGCTGGGAGTCCCCTCTGCCAACTCAACAGCTGCAGAGCTGATATGGACAGTGCTGGAGGCAAGAGGAGTCCTGGGCTTCCCACCCCAGCCCCTTTGGACTCCAGTGGGCAAGGCTGCCTGGCTCCCAGCCTCCCTGCGCTCAACTCTGCAGCTGTGGGAGAATCTCTCAGGACTGGTTTTGGAGCAGGTACATGGGTCACTGCTGAATAATCCACATGAGCTCCTTGCTCAGCTCTAGGCACAGACAAACTGGGCCCTGGCCCTTCCAAATCCCAAACCTGTTCCCAAAGCTAGTACTAAGCAAAAAGGCTGGACTAATGCCCAAGAAAGCTGCCCAAGGCAAAGACACAAGGATTGTCCTCAGTCTCACAGTGCCCATTCTATCCTAGGGCAACCCTGTTTCCATGCACAGCAGGGCAGCCACTGCAACTGGTTCCTGTTTATTTGAGTGAACATCTCACAGGGAACCAGCCAGCATGTCCAGACTGGCAGGGAAGCAAGCAGGAACACCTCACCTTGTAGAATGTGGGAAGGTCAAATTCCTCTAGAACGCTATCCACCTCCGAGACCAGCTCCAGCAGCTGGAAATGCCCAGCAGAGACCTCCAAGCCAATAAAGGTCCTAGAGAAAGGCAAGGAGAGACTGCAAGCACCCTTTCATGCTGCAGAAAGCACATCCCTACGAATACACAGCCCTTCATTCCTACTGGGCAAGTTCCTTACTCCCTAACACAAGGAAATCTGAGGAATGCCAGGTTTAAGCATCCAGGGATGCTGATTGTATTCTGAAGAAAAGCAGAAGATGTGGTAGCAGGCAGAAGCAGGATTGGATGATAAACCATGTAGATTTACTAGATTAGCCTAGTACCTTTTGGGACATGGAAATCAGTTTTCCAGGCAAAGGATGCACTGGATGAATTTCAGCAGAGTGCCATGCCCACGCAGGAGCTGCATTAAAAAAGTGGAAGTTGCTGGAGAGGTTTCACAGTGTGAGAGGAAGCAGGGAATGGGAAGTACCAGGCTGGAGAGGTGTGACAAAGAAGTCAGCACCTCCTCCAGGACTTTCTAGTGTCATTTAGAGTCATCATTTCTTCCCCTCCAGGAGGGAAGCAGAAGATTCAAGTGTCACCCAGGTTCCATATCCACTTTTTCCTACCCATGACTGTCTTGGGCTGCCTTTCCCACCAGATTCAGCAACTTTCTGCAATTTTAATCACCTTTGCTTTGACATTCAAAAAAAACTTAATTGCATTCCGTTGGAATCAGGCTTCTGAGCTGATGCCCAGGAGAATTAGCACCATCTCAGCTATTTCCCTCCAGCTCTTGGAAGACCTGCATTACAATTTCACGACTGGCACTGCTGCCAAAAGAGGTGGTCCCACTCTGCTCGCCCCAGGCTGTGCACGCTGGCTAATGAGACCAAAAGCTTGCAGAGAATCAGTGCCAAAGCCAAAACTTTGTACAGATGGCTGGGGAAAGGTGTGAAATGTCTGGAGATGATCTGGAGGTGATCACATACTGTGTTGTCACACAGCTCAACTGTGGGACAGGCAGGGTGACACTTCCCATCCACCCAGCACCCTGCTCAGACTTCTCCTGGGGCAGGCAGGCTGCTCCACTGTGCACTCACCTGGTTTTGTTCTGGTTGGTGTAAACCTTCACTTGGTCAGCCACACAGAAGAACCTGAAATAAGAAAGATCCTATTTCAGCTGCAGGGAAAAAAATAAAAAAGGAGAAGATGAGGAGGGCTCAGGATTGTTACCAAGCCATGGAAAGATACAGGCAAATATAAGCTGCAATCGGACCAAACTGGTGCAACCAGAACCTCTTGGGGCTCAAATTAATTAATTTCCCTCCCATTTCCAGCCCTCCAAAGCCTGCACAGTGACAGAAGCTCTGAAGAAGCTGATGCTCAGCCAGTGCCTGAGCCACATGTAAGCAACAAAACCACCCATGGTTTAGAGGATGGCACAGCTCTGGCCTGATCCTGGAAAGCCAAAACCTGATGCATCTGGTGCCAGATCCTGAGGCAGTGAGGAAAAATCCCCAGGGCTTTAATGTCCTGCCAGCACGAGCTGCCAGGGACACCTTAGGGCGTGGATGCTGGCAAAACACGGGTCCCGAGGGCAGGGGAGGGGTGTGAGGAGCGCTCTGCCGGGGCTCTGCCAAACCCACCTGTGGAAGGCGGCCAGGCGCTCCCGGAGGGAGCGGACGAAGGGCTCAATCCAGTGGTAGCGCAGCACCACGCACTGCGAGAGGCTCAGGTGGAACTCCTCCATGGCAGCCAGCGACGGCACGAAGGTGCGGGCGTGGGACACCAGCAGCTCCAGCAGCTCCAGGAACTCCTCCTGGGCAATGTCTGCGGGGCAGCGCCGTCAGAGGAGCCGCGCATCCCCGCCGGGACCGAGGGGCGCAGCGGCTGAGGTCCGTCCCGCCATCCTCCCGGACCCATCCCGGTCCCGGTCCCGGTCCCATCCCGCTCGCGGTGCCGGTACCTACAGGGCAGGTAGACGTGCGTGGCCCAGTTGCCCCGCTCGTGGGGGAAGCCGCGCACGCGGCCGCCGTGCCGGGAGCTGTCATCGCTCACGACCTCCAGCGGGTCCGGGTCTCCGGGCAGGCCGGCGGGCACGGGCAGGCGGGGGCGGCCGGCGCTGCGGGACCGGAGCGGGGTGAGAACGAGGAAGAGGAGGAAGAAGGCCGCGCGCTCCCGCCGCCTCCCGCGCGCTCCCGCCGCCGCCACCCCACCGCACCTACCTGGCCCCGGGGAGCCCCTGCGCGGCGCCGCCCCGGCACCCCCCTTCCTGCTCCTGCTCCTGCTCCTCCTCGGAGCTGCTGTAGCCCACCAGCGCGGCGCTCATGGCCGCGGCCCCGCCGCCACGGCCCGCGCCCCGCTGGCAGCGCAGTTGCCGGCGCGGCCCGGCAGGGGGCAGCACTCGCCGCGCCCGCCCCGCCTCCTCCGCCGCTGCCGCGGCCGCCCCGGCCCGGCCCGCTCCGCTCCCTCCGCTGCGCTCCCGCCCGCCGCTCGCTCCCTTCCCTCCCTCCCCTCCTCCCTCCCGGCTCCCGCCTCCACGCCAGCGCGGGGCTCGGGCGCAGCGCGCAGGCCGCGGCCCTGCCGCCGGCGAGGCCTCCTCCCGCCGTAGGTGATCGGCCCGGCCGCCGCCGCCGCCGCCCTTTGTGTGCGCCTCGCCGGGGCGGGGGCGGCCCCGGGCGGGCAGCGACCCCCTACACCCGAGCCCAGCGCGGGGCCTCCCGGCGCGGCGGCGGTGAAGGCCTCGGGGCGCCGTCCCCGCGCTGCCAGCGGGGCCGCCCGATGGGGAGCGGCGAGCGGCGGGCCGGGCCTGGCCGCGGGCTGCGGCGGCGGCGGCTGCTGGTGGCCTGCGAGCTCCCCGGCCGCCCCCGCGCCCCGCGGCCCTGAGGCGGCCCGGGCCTGGCGGGAGCAGCCGGGCCATGCCGAGCAGGCCGCCTCGCCAGTTTGAAAGTACCTCTGCGCTCCCGACCGCGCTCCCTAAATGGTTGTCGCTTCCCACCTCCCACGGAGGGATGAGTTAGGCTGGAGCTGGCGCCGACGCGGGTCCCCGCGCAGAGCCCTCGGTAAGCCAAGGTTGGTATCGCTCTCCCCTGCCAGGGGCGCAGTTTTCCCTCCCCGTTAGCCCGGGGTGCGCCGCCGGTGGGTTCATCCTCCCGCGGTTCGCGGTGTGTGCGGGGGAAGGTGGCGTCCGGGCTGGGCTGAAGTTTGGTGTCCCGCCGAGCTCGGTGCAGGTACCGGCACTGCGAGCCCTCGCTCCGTCAAGGTGAGCTCTGTAGGAGAAGGAGAGCATCTGCGTGCCTGCAGGGCTGTGATGGTGCCCCTGGGGGCTTTGCTGGAGCACAAAATAATGAAGTGTCCCCACAGTCAGAGGTGGGTCCAGGACTACCTGAGCTGCGGGGCTCAACCCCGTCTCAACTGAGTGCCAGTGGAGGTGGGGATGCTGGGGAGTGGGATTCTCTGATGCTCTTTATTGCATAGTTTTAAACATAAAAAATATTGTTGTGGTAGACCAAGGATTTCCTTACCCTGAGGGCAGGTGGTTTGACACAGACATGGGGGTGCTCTCAAGGCCCAGGAGTGCTGCTGGCTGCTGCTCACCAGGGCTTGCACCTTCTTCTCTCTTGAGGTGTGTTGACACTGCTGCTATCTGCTGCTTGCTGGTGGGTCTTATTCTTCTCTAAGTTGGTGGCAGGTTTTATTGGACATCTCACTTTCCAGTGAGCCTGATGATGCTCTGTAGCAAGGCCAGGCTGCGGATCTGGCATAGGTTGGTTGGCTTCTACGTACTTTTATTACATGGTTTGGTAGGAGGTTCAGCTAAGCCACTGCTTTAACTCCACTTTTATCTTCACAGAGTGATCCCTGTGTCTGAGGATAGGATAACAGTGAGGGGAAATTTTCTCCTGAGCTCCCTGGCTCTTCCAGTCTACAAGCGCTGCCCAGAGAGGGGGAAATGCTTTGCGTGCATCCCTTGGGTATTGGGCTCGATATCCAGGCTGCAGGAGGAGCAGAACCGTTTCACAGAGCTGTTTCAGCTGGGGTGGGATCATGTTAGGATGTGTAAAATCTAACCCAGTAGCTTCTTGATTGCACAGTGTTTGGTGCATAGCCTGTGCAGAGAGACCATGTTCTGGGACAGTGCCACAGCAGTGCTGGACATCCACTGACCCCCTCAAGGCTGAGCTGAGCGACTCCTGGGCAGTTTTGCTGCCTCTCATGAGGGCACAACACCCAAACGTGTGCCTGGCTGTGTCCAAACAGAGCCCAGCCGTTTCCAGGCTGACAACTCCTTGTCCCAGGCCCTTTGCACAGCAGCAAGTGGAGCTCTGGTTCTACAATGGCTTCTTGGTAGCTTTGCAGGGATGCAGGAGAGTTTTCAAAGAGAGACATGGGAGAAGGTTGATAGAGAATTGCCCACATTTCCTCTAAGAACTGACATGAGCTGTCTTCTTTCCTGCAGAGAGAGCTGCTCCCTGGGTTGTATCCTGTGCCCCTCACAAGTGTGAGCACGTCGCAGCCAGCACGGAGAAGAGCCTCCTCTCCTCTTCAAGGCACTTGCCTCTGCCTCCTGTTCCTTTGTCCAAAAGAAGGAAAAGCCAGACCAAATCAGTCCATAAAGAACCTGTGCTGGTCTAAGGAGGAGGCTCTGGAGTCCCTTCGCCGCTTTTCTTTCCAGGATCCTGGCTGTGGGCTGGATTTTCTGGTCTCAACTTGAGGGGATCATTTACAGGGAATCAGGATCTCAGAATCTTTGTGTCTTGCTTTTACTTGAACCCTTTCATCCGGGAAGCTGAAGCTATCACTGCTAAAATCCCATTTTTTTCCCCAAGCATGTCAGAAAGCTGGCAGCAGCAACAGCAGCAACCACAGCAGCCGCCGCCACCGCAGCAGCACCACGCTGGGGCAGCCGCCCTCCCAGAGCACTCCATCCCTCCCAGCACTGCTGACAACCCCCTGGGCTGTGCCGTGTACGGCATCCTGCTCCAGCCAGACCCTGGACTGCAGCACCACCAGCACGCCCCCATCCAGGCTGGAGAGCCATCCCACAAGTGCGGTGTGTGTGGCCATGACCTCGCCCACCTCTCCAACCCCCATGAGCACCAGTGCTTGCCAAGCCATGACCGCTCTTTCCAGTGTACCCAGTGCCTGAAGATCTTCCACCAGGCCACCGACCTCCTCGAACACCAGTGTATCCAGGTGGAGCAGAAGCCCTTCGTGTGTGGGGTTTGCAAGATGGGCTTCTCCCTCCTGACCTCGCTGGCGCAGCACCACAATGTCCACAACGGCAACGCCATGAAGTGCTCTATTTGTGAGAAGACCTACAAGCCTCCCGAGGTGGAGCATTCACAGCCTCTCGACCCCTCGGAGAAGCCCTACAGCTGCTCCATCTGTCAGAAAACCTTCAAGCACCTCTCGGAGCTGTCCCGGCACGAGCGCATCCACACGGGCGAGAAGCCGTACAAGTGCACGCTGTGCGACAAGAGCTTCAGCCAGTCCTCCCACCTGGTGCACCACAAACGGACGCACAGCTCGGAGCGGCCCTACAAGTGCACGGTGTGCGAGAAGACCTTCAAGCACCGCTCCCACCTGGTGCGCCACATGTACGCCCACTCGGGGGAGCACCTCTTCAAGTGCAACGTCTGCGAGCTGCACTTCAAGGAATCCTCGGAGCTGCTGCAGCACCCCTGCACGCCCAGCGGGGAGCGGCCCTTCCGCTGCGGGGAGTGCCAGAAGGCCTTCAAGCGTCCCTCGGACCTGCGGCAGCACGAGCGCACGCACAGCGAGGAGCGGCCCTTCAAGTGCGACCTGTGCCAGATGAGCTTCAAGCAGCAGTACGCGCTCATGCGCCACCGCCGCACGCACAAGGCCGAGGAGCGCTTCAAGTGCAACCTGTGCGAGAAGGGCTTCGTGCAGCCCTCGCACCTGGTGTACCACCAGCACGTGCACGGCATAGAGAACCTCTTCAAGTGCAACGTGTGCCAGAAAGGCTTCAACCAGTCCTCGGAACTGCTGCGGCACAAGTGCGTGCAGAACGCGGAGCGGCCCTTCAAGTGCGCGGTGTGCAACAAGTCCTACAAGCGGGCCTCGGCTCTGCAGAAGCACCAGCTGGCCCACTGCGCCGAGAAGCCGCTCAAGTGCACGCTCTGCGAGAGACGTTTCTTCTCCTCCTCGGAGTTCGTGCAGCACCGCTGCGACCCGGCCCGCGAGAAGCCCCTCAAGTGCCCCGACTGCGAAAAGCGGTTCAAGTACGCGTCGGACCTGCAGCGGCACCGGCGCGTGCACACAGGCGAGAAGCCCTACAAGTGCTCCTCCTGCGAGAAGGCCTTCAAGCAGCGCGAGCACCTCAACAAGCACCACAGCGTGCACGCCCGCGAGCAGCAGTACAAGTGCATGTGGTGCGGGGAGCGCTTCCTGGACCTGGGCCTGCTGCAGGAGCACAGCGTGCAGCACACGGCCGAGGGTGCCTACCAGGTGGCTGCCTGCTTGCCGTGAGCCTCCTGCCCCGCCGTGGCTTTCAGCTTGCATGGGACTCTCCCGAGCCTCTGCCTTCCCTTCCCTCTCCAACCTCCAGGGAGTGTGGGGGAAAGGGGGGGCACGGTGTGTGGGCAGGTAAACTTTCCTCTGGCCTCAGATATGCCGCCTGTATCGAAGTAGCAACAGACGACGTGGACATCTCAAAGGGGTGGAAAGGAGAGGAGGGAGGTGGAGGGAGGAAGCTATGCCTGTAGATGCCTGGTGTTCCCTGGACTGTAGTTTGTGCTGTACCTGCAGTTCCAGTCCTGGAGCTCAGCTGTCTGTTGCAGGCACCAGCTCTTTGCGTGCAGCCTTTTTCCCCTGTCCTGCTGGCACGGTTGGTGGGGAGGATTGGGTGATTCTCCTTCTGGAGAGGGTTTAGGAGCAAGGCAGAGCCAGCCCTCCTTTCTCCCAGGGAGTGCTGCTTGGCATAGAGATGGCAGATTTCTGCTGCTGGGGTCTCCCAACTTGGTCCAGGCTCAGTTGAGGGCATCATTTCAGATCATTAGTGTTGATTGACTGCCCCAACCTCCCCTGCTCTCCCTCCTTCTAGAGTGTTGAAAGGGAAAAGCCATGGGGCTTCACAGCTCCAAAAAGCACTTTGGCATTGCTGCTTTTGCAGTGGCTGGCTGTCACACTCTGCAGGGGTCTGAGTGAGCCTGCCTGCCCCCTGTCCCTGCCAGCTGCACAGGGAGCTGTAGGAAGCTGCCACCAGAAAGCGTGGCACGGAGCACTGGGACAGTCTGCCTGGGAGGAGGTCATGGATTCTCCCTCTCTGGAGACATTCAGAACCCACCTGGACATATTTCTGTGTAACCTGCTTTAGGTGACCCTAACTTAGCAGGGGGGTTGGACTAGATAATCTCCAAAGGTCCTTCCAGCCCTAAAGTTCCATGATTCTGTTACAGCATTCATACCCTGCTCCCAACCAAAAGCCTGCCATTCAAGAGCTGCTTCCCAAGGCACTTAGCCTCCTCCTGCCTTGCCTCCAGCCCCTTGAGCACCCCTTGGGCTGACTGTGGTACCTCCAGCAGGGTCAGGCAATGGGCTGTCATAGCTCCAACACTAAGGGGTGAGATGAACACTACAATAACCTACAGCTGTGAGCCAGGAGAATCCTTTATGGCCTGCAGGCTCAGCTCCATGGGGAGGGCAAAGTTAGCAGTGGGTAAAAAGTCTATTTTTTCCCCTCTTGCAGGAGTCCTGGTTTACCCCTTTGCCCTTTCTTTACCTCGTCTGTATTCTTCAGGTTTTGCACACTTCTTGTAAACATCACTTAAAAATAAATCTCCCCTAGCAAGGTTGATGCAGCCTCAGGTGTTTTCATCTGCAGGAATTTGCTGGCTTCTCATGTCCAAGAGATCCATTACATGTCAGTTAGATGCCTTGGAGGTTGAAAATGTGCCTACTAGGTTGTCCCCCAGCCTTCCCCCTCCATCTCTCCATCTTTGGAGATACTGAGTGTCCATCTGTGGAGATGTTCAGGCCCTGGCTGGATGTGGTCCTGAACAACCTGCTGCAGCTGACCTGTGCAAGCAAGGAGTTGGACCTGGGGGTCTTCAGAGGTCCCTGCCAGCCTCAGCTCAGCTCTGCTGTTGGCTGGTGCTCCTATGAGGTTGCAGTGAGCAGCAGCCAGGGTGTTGCCCATGTGCTGCATGAGTGATTAGGACAAGGTTAATGACTCTTGTCCATGGCAAGTGTAGACAGATTAACCTTGCAGAGGGTTGGACTGGGCCTGCATCTCTTTTGGGGGACATTTGTCTGAAAGGTGGAGAAAGGCTTTAGTTTTCCATTTCCAGCATGGTGAGGGGGAACAGGGTGCATTTTCAGGGGCTGGGACAGGGAAGTGACAGGGTAGACCCTGGGGCTGAGTCTTCTTCATGTGCAACTTTAAGGTGATTAAAACAGACTGTGCTCTCTGCTGCCCAAGGAAGAGGGACCCATGATGGTTATCTTACTTTGTGCTGCCTCAAAGATGTAGAACTTCCTACCAAGTTTTCCATCTGTGTTTCTTTTTCCTCTTTTTTTTTTGTTTTACCTTTTTTTTTAAAAAAAGCAGTTTGTTAAAATTCATTAAAAATACTGTATAGTTTAACTTGATGTCATACTGAATCTTTAAAAAGCAAAAGAGATGTGGTAACTTGGATTTTTAAAGAGCTCTTTAGTTCTAGGTAACTGGTTTTTGCTGTTTAATATGTAGTAAGTTCAGTGTATGCTTTACTGTAGGAGTAAAAGAGAGTCCAAACAAAGGAAGGCTAATCCTGTCTTTGCAGAAGGGCTTGGTGGTGATGGAGGCTGCAAATGTGGGACCAGATGAGGACTGTGGCACTCACCTGAACCCTTGCTCTGTTCCTGCCTTGGGCCATGGTTCCTCTGCTCTTTGCCAGCACAGCTGCCAGGGGATCAGTGGTCACTGGCAGCCAGGATCAGTGCCCAGGGCTCAGAGCTTGCAGAGAGGCTCAGCTTTGCTAGGAGGGCATTGTGAGATAGAGTCAGCTGCAGCCTCCATGGGCTGTTGTGGCTCTGCTGTTTCTTTCTGGAGCAGCAGAGGAGGGTTTGGAGAAATCATCAGCTGGATGTGCCCTGCTCTCTTCCCTCCCAGGAGCCTGGGGAACTGCCTGGGTGACTGCCTGGCACTTGGAGCAGAGGAGGGTGGTGCTGGGCCCCAGACACAGCTCCACACTTTGCAGAGCCTTGGTACAGCTGGACACAGGGACTGTTGGGGGGTGTTTCTCTTCTGCTGAGCAGCTGGGAAAGCCCTGGATATCCCAGTGAGGCTCTGCCTAGGATGTGGCAATGGCCAAGCAGTGCCCTGGGCAGAGAGACTCATCTGGGCTGTGTGCATGGGACCCATGCCAGGGAGAGAGGGGAGAGCTTGGCAGGGATGAGCCCAGGTCCAGGTCATCAGCTGGTGAATAGGGGCCTCCAGGTTCAAAAACATCATGGTGCAGGATTAGAACATCATTATTAGGCCTGGCTGTGAGTCCATGGTGGCTCAGTCTCTTGTTTCATTTGCTGCCCTGCAGGAGCCCAAATCCAGCTGAAGCCCATGGAGAACATGCAGCTGGAGCACATTGCTGTGTGGGGTGGGCACTGAGTGGCCACAGAGAGCTTTGGGTATATTTTTATAGGAGCATTTTCTAGCTGGAAGCAGCAGTGTTGCCTACAGGGCTGGGGGAAGCAGGTCCATCTCCATTGCTGTGCCTTTAGGTCAGGTTGTGTCAGTGAGGTAGGAGGAGGTGGAGGCAGCAGGAGGCACAGGAGGGTCAGGAGCACTGTGCTGCTGTGTGGGGAGGCACAGGCTGCCCTGGGAGCTGGTGTCCCTGGGACATCACACTGCAGGGCTCTGCTCACTGCTGGTGTTTCCTTTTCAAACCAAAGAGCAGCTGAGGCCAAAGCCCTCTGGGGAGTAAACCATGTCTCTACTCTGTACCTGTTGCACTTCACTTCTGGTGTTTATTTCGAGCAATTTTCAGGCTCCAGCCTCTGCTTGGCCCCTTGCATTCCTCAGTGCCCTGCAGCACCCCAGAGAGCTGCTGTGCTGGAGCTGCTGTGCCATCAGCCCCGTGGCAAGTGCTCCAGGCCGTTCAGGACCTGGCTGCAGCCCACCTGAAGATGCTGAGGGGCTGGGTAGGGGGGTCCCTCCCAAAGGGTGGCTCTCCTTGGCAGGCAGTCTGAGTAGGTGGAGAGGAGGGTTAGGTTGGGCAGAGGTTGTGTGGGTGTTCTCCAGGACGTAAGTCCTGCTCTCTAGGGCTGTTGTTCCTCTGGCTTCCTGGGTCCAGGAAAAGGTAGTCTGTAACCTGGGCTTTTATTGATCTTCACTTCCCCTGACCCTACCTACAGGATGCCTTTAGCTGTCTCAGCTCTTTCCCTTCCACAGCTTATACTTTTAAAAGACATTCTCAGCTTCTTTTCTTTGTTCAGTTCTTTATTTGTAAGCAGTGGTTTGTTTTTCATTCCTTCTTCCACACTGATTGTGAAGTCCCTTCCTTCCCACCTCCCTCTGCTCTCCCCAGCCCCAAATTCCTTTCCCAGGCTGAGGCTGGATCCCAGTGATACCAAACCACTGATGGTGAGATCAGGTGTTTAGGACCTGAGTCTTGCTGGAATGCAGTGGTCCTTCCCCACAGCAGGCCATCCATTTCACTGGGCATGGGCAATGCCTGTGACCTGGCAGCTTGGCATGGGGTCTTGCCCATGCTCTGACAAGTGAATCCAAGCCAGGACCAAGAGCCAGAGCAGAGCTGTAGGAAATGGAGACTGGGGTGGGAGCTGCCATTTCCATCTCCAAGGCTGGGGATTAGGTCAGGGAAGGACTGTCAGCATTCCTGGGAGGTGTCCTGGCACTTGGGTGGGCTCAGGCAGTGCAGTTGGTTCCCCTGGGAGTGCTGTGGAGCAGCTGTGTGCATCAAGCAGGCAGCTGAGCTGAGTTTGCTGTGGCAGGGACACCCCTGGGACCAGGGGCATGCTCAGGTGGCCATGCCAGCTCTCTGGTGAGCAGATGCCATCTCTGCAGTCTGGGTGGGAAGATGTTCATGCTCTGATCTTGGGGCCCATGTGCTGGACTGGGGGACAAAGGGGAAAGCATCCTCTGACTGAGTTTTGGGACCATCTCTGGGCACTCAAGCCTGCTCTTGCAGGGAGGAGGGAGGAGAACACTTTCTGCACTTCCCTTGGGTATTTACCATCAACTCCAGGCTGTAGCTGAAGCCTGGCCATTACAAAATAGGCAAATCCCTCTTGTTTATCTTGTTATAATTCAGAGTTTGACTCTCTCCATTGGGTGGTGAGTTCACCTGTGGGAAGGTTCCTGTGCATGCAGGTGAAATGCTGAGGTTCAGTAAGGGCAGGCCAGTGAGGTTTGGGGCTGCAGCTCCCCCCAGACCCAGGTGAGGACCCAGCTTCTCCCCAGCTTCCTCTGCAGCATCTCCTGGCAGCTGCCCCTGGCACTTTGTGGATGTGAAGATGCTGCTCTCACAGCGTGCCTGGGATGCTCAGTGGGGAGAGCAGGACCACAGGTGGCAGCTGGACCGTGGGCTTGTTTCTGAGTGCCTCCAAGCCGTGGATCTGAGGGACTTCATGGTCAGGGAGATTCCTGGGCACCTCCCAACCTGTGCTCATGACTCCAGCAGAGTTTCTGGGGCTGTCAGGAGTCACAGCCAAGGTTGCTGAGGTTTGTGTGGCTTGCAGTGCCTTTAACACTGCTCTCCATGTGTTTCTAAGATGATACTCCATGTATGTGTGTATATATATTGTAATAACACGTCCCGCTCTTCTGTGTGAGTGTCAAATGGTTTTGCTTTACTAATAAATTTATAGTTATTTATACCTTCCTGTGGGTGTGTAAGGTTTCTGGAGAGGAGGCCCTGTGCCAAGCGCTGCCTCCTCATCTGTCTTTATGCTCTGTCTGGCTCTGCTTGGGGTTTTTTTTCATGTTTTCTTTCTTTCCCCTGAACTTTTTCAAAGTAGAATTGATGGTTCATCTTCCTGGTAACCAGAAGATGCAGGGTATGAGCAGGCTCCCAGGGGCTGAAAGCAAACACAAGCAGAGTATGCTGAGTGGTTTTGCCCCTGCTAGAACTGGAACGATCCCTCCCCAGGTCAAAACTCCTCCCTGGGAGCTTCAGGGCAGGAGCAGGCAGGAGTCTCTTCCTGCCAGAAGGGAGCAGCTGTTCATGGGGCAGAAACTGCTGCGTGTTGTGCTCTGGGATGCCAGCCCCACATCCAACTGTTCAGGCTTTTCCTGAGGGTTTGTTCTGCATCCCTCATCCTGTGACAGCAAGAGAGGAGCCTGCTACAGAGCTCTGGGGCTAGGCAGGATGGGTACTCATTGCCCACCCATGGAGCCAGGGAAGGAGGAAGCAGGTCAGGAAGCTCTGGGCGTGCAGAAACATGCTGGACATGGGCCACAGAAGCCATGTTGGCACCTGGGTTCCAGGGTGTCATTGTGGCCAAGATTAGGGGCAGTGGGAAAGGCTGGCAGTCGTGCAGGGCTGGAGGTAAACGGATCAAGCAGCAATTGGCAGGCTCAGCAAGGGGAGGCTTAGCCCAGCCCAGCGCAGATTTGCTGTGGTTGCTCAGGAGCTGGGGCAGAGCTGTGGGTGGAGCACCCTTGGCACATCACCTTGTGTCACCCCACGGGGTTTCAGCAGCTCCAGTGCTGCTCCTCTGCACATCCCTGCACCCCCTGCCCATGGGTGAGACTCCTGCCTTCCCCACATCACTGCTGGTGAGTGCCTGGGGTACCTTTGGGATTTTGAGAGCGCTCAAACCTGTTTGATTTTGGGTTTGTTGTTTAGTTTTTTTTTTCAGCACCCTGCTGCACGGAAGGCAGGCAGGCTGCTGGAAGCCAGGGCACTCAGGACAGCTGGGTGGCAGTAATCCCATTTGCAGGCAGCACAGGGCTAATCCCCGCAGAGCCCTGAGCCGGTCGGGGTGGCTGGGGGGGCAGTGGCGAGCTGCAGTGGCCAGGGGAGCCCTCCGACCCAGCGTGGCTGCCCAGGGAGGCAGTGCTGAGCCCGCGGGGGTAAGTGGCAGCCAGGGAGGCGAGGGAGGCTCTGCAGGGCCACCTCTGCCATCCCAGGGGGTTTGGGGATCTGAAACAGCCGGGGGAGGAGCTGTGCTGGTCCATGGGGAGTGATGCTGCGAGGGCTGGGTGGTGTGGAGGTTTCATCAGCTGCTGGGGGGGAAGGAAAGGCCACGGTGCTCCCTGCTCCAAATGGGGCTGTGGGTCTGTGCCCTTCTTGCTCTTAGAAATGAGACCAAGGCCCTTTGCTGGCTGGCAAAAGGGGCTGCCACAACAGGTGGTGGCACCGCTGGGTGCCTGCAATGCAGGGTGCAGAAGGCTGCCGACTCTTTCATGTCACTGAAGGCAAATCCTGGCTCCTTATTCCCATTTCTTTCAGCAGCTAATTTTGTGGGGACCCACAAATGTTTCTGCCCATTTCTCGTTCAGATCTGGCAGAGGAACAGACTCTGCCCTCCACTTTCTCTCCCAGACCAAGGACAGGGATATGGTCCAGGCTTTTACAGCTGCACAAACTCATGGTGAGGGAGGAGGAGCCCTTGGCTGACAAGGGGGGCACGCTGCAGCCTCAGGGGACTTTCTCCAGGATTGTTTGGGCTCAGTTGTGCCCATGGACCCTGGGCTTCTTTGGGACCAAAACATGGGTGGAAATGCCTCTGCTGCAGACACTGGCAGCTTTTCCTTCCCAGGGTGTTCACAGCTCCTTAATCCCTTGTACCCAGTGAGATACAAGGTGATTTAATTGATTTCTGGCTGTCAGGCTTCAGGAGGTGTTTTACAGCCACTCTGTCCAGCTGTGGGGTCTGGGGGTCTCTGAGAGACTGCATGGAGTTGCAGGCAAGCAAAGGGCTGAGGGCACACATCACCCTTCCTGCAAACCCCAGCCTGGAGTTTGGCTTTGGAGAGCCCCCAGTGAGCCATCTCAAGGGAACTGAAGATGTCCTGCAGGCCTGAAAGCTGCATGAGGGGTTAATTCAAAGCCCAGTGCTGAGCAGCTTCCAGCCTCTTCCTGCTGCATGTGGGACTGGGATTGAAACTCCTGTGCAGTCTCCTGGCCAGGCTGGAAGGAGCTCAGGGCTCTGCTTCCTTTTGCCCTTCACAGGTATCACCTGGGGCTGTCTGAGGTGCTCCTGAGCCCTTCATTTTGGGCAGAGTGGGGTATCTTTAGAGGGGCATTTTGGGCAAAGCATGACCCTCCAGACAGACAACAAGAAGTGACACCCCCAGTTTGAGCTGGCTGAGAGCCCCCAGCTCTTGTTCAGTACCTAAGGGGAATGTGCAGCATCACTTGGCTCTGTATCCTAGCCTGGCTTCACAAAGGGAAGGAAGGGACCCAAAAAGACCAAGCAGCCAGAGCTTGGACAGCTCTGCAAAATCTCACTTTCCCCTGCCCTATCAACATCACAGCAGCCAGTGCTGGGTGCCTTTGCTGCCTTTGCCAGAGCACCCAGCAGGTGCCTCAGCAGCCACCAAGTCCCTGGGGTGTGGCTGAAAGGTGGTGGAGCAGAGTTGTTTAGCAGGGACAGAAAGAGGGGATTTGTGTGTTGTGACCTGAACTTCCTCATAAAAAACATCTTCAAATTACTGTTCAGCTTCCCTCAAATGAAAAATGATGGGGAGAGTAGGGCAGAGCATCACAGCTTCTGTGATCTATCTGCAATGGCTTCCTAGTCAGGACAGGTGTGAAAATAAAACATCTAACTGAGGAGCTACCTTCAGGAAAAGCAAGTTTAACTGAGATGGTGAGAATAAAAGAGTGTTTATTTTGCTCCCAATAGCAGTGAGGGATGAGGGTTGAGCTGGGGTTTGCTCTGGCTGGGCTGCAGTGCCGTGTTTCCCACGCAGGACCTGGAGGCAGAGGGACACCAAGGACCTTCTTGGGCTGCTCAGGAGACAGCCCAGTGAGTGGCTGGTGTTCCTGGGCAGTGTGCACCCCCGTGCTGGGCTCCTGCCAGCTGGAGAGCCCGGGCAGTGCCCGCAGCCAGCGGGATGATGGGCTGGATTGACCGGGTGGTGCCCCAGCCCCCGGTGCCCCACCTGGCAGAGGAGACCCCTGTGCAGCCAGCCAAGGTGAGCAGGGAGCCAGCCTGGGGGTGATGGGGACACCATGAGCATGGTGAGAGGTGCCTGGTGCCTCTGCATCCATCGCCAGCACTGCAGCATCCCCAGCAGGGAAGGGGGCTGGGATGCATTCCTGCAGGAGCACGGGGAGTCCCTGGGGTTTGCAGCCACCTTTGAGCAGGGACAGTGTCCCCTGTGCCTCATTCTCTGCCACCTCCTGCCTTTTGTCCTGAAGGCACCGACAGGAAAGGCTGCTGGCCCCACAGATGCTGCTGAGCGGGCACGCACGGAGGGTAAGCCCCACATGGCTCAGGCTGCACATCAGTGCTCCTTCACCCTCCTGTCCCACTCCTGCCTGGCCTCCTGGGGCTGCCAGAGTGCTGATAGGAGCTTGTCTTATTTTCCCCTGCTGCTATTGAAGAAATAGAAAAGAAAGTGACCTTTGTGGCTTCTGAGGAATCAAGTTCTGTGTTTGACAGGTACAGCTCCTGCACCCTTTGTGCAGCATGATTTCTTGGGATTTTGCTTTTTGTTGGGGATGCCTTGGATGGTGTTCCCAGCTTGACTCACCCGTTTCCCTGGCAGTGTGGGGAGCAGTGTGCTCTCCTGGCTCTCCCATGGGCTGGAGAAGGTGATTCCCCAGCCAGCCCCAGCCCCAGGGCTGCAGGCACTCGGGAAGAGCTTCGAGACAAGCATTGACATTGCTGATGAGGTAGGAAACAGATCTGGGAAATTATTTGGTATATTTGAGCTTCTGCCTCTTTTTACCTTTTCTTCTTTTTTCCTTCTTATCACTCTCCCGGTGCTAACTGGGAGCACTAAACCTGCCCTGCATGGGTTTCTACCTTCATCCATCCCTGGGGAAAGGGCAGGTTTTCCCCTTCTTGGGCTGTCAGGTTTTCAGACAATATGTTTGGCTTTTCAGACAGAGGTCCAGGTCATTGGAGATGAGGATGACGATGGTCTGGGTAAGGAGATCTGGGGGTTTGTAGTGTGCAGCATCCAGGGACTCCGCATCCCACTCCCCGGCTGGTGACACCGGCACTATTGTCCCCTTGCGCTGGCTGATGGGGACACCTGAAGCTGCCAGCAGTGCAATTCCCCATGCCCACAGCAGTGCTCTCCTTGCAGAGATAACTCCCTTCGATGCCGAGGAGGACGTGTCCGAGGGGGAGCCGGAGAGCACCCCGGAGCAGTGGTGGGTGCCCAGCCGGGCCGGGGGGATGCGGGAGGGCAGGAGGGAGCAGGATGAGCTCCCCGGAGCAGTGGTGGGTGCCCGGCCGGGCCGGGGGATGCGGTAGGGCAGGAGGGAGCAGGATGAGCTCCCCGGAGCAGTGGTGGGTGCCCGGTGGGTGCCCGGCCGGGCCGGGGGGATGCGGGAGGGCAGGAGGGAGCAGGATGAGCTCCCCGAGCGCGGCGCTCTCCCCGCAGGGCAGGACAACGAGTGCTCAGCTGGCTCTCACAGGGCTTCGAGAGGATTTTGCCGCAGCCAGAGGGGATGAAAAAGCCGGAGGTGAGCGCTGCCTAGCTCGGGAGGAGCGGGGACTACCGGGCAGAGAGGAGAATGGGGCGAGCTCCCTGCCTTCATCCTCTGCACACCCCAGCTGGCACCCTGGGGAGGAAAACCCAAGGGAATTCCGCAGAGCAAAAAGACCTCTGGTGCTGTCCCGGTGTTCCTCCACCCTGATGCAGGGAGGATCCTTCCTTTGGGACTGACGGGCTGTGGTCAGCAGGGCTGGTGTCTGGGTTAACTGCTTGTTGTCAGGGCAGTGGGGCTGAAACCAGAGCGGGCGGTGTGTGGGGCTGAGCATGAGGAGCTGAGCGTGTGGGCATGAGCATGTGGGGATGAGCATGAGGGGCTGAGCATGAGGGGCTGAGCATGTGGGGACGAGCATGAGGGGACGAGCATGAGGGGACGAGCATGAGGGGACGAGCATGAGGGGACGAGCATGAGGGGACGAGCGTGTGGGGATGAGCGTGTGGGGATGAGCGTGTGGGGCTGAGCATGAGGGATGAGCACGAGGGTCCTGTTGCACCGGGGACATGTCCACCTGGGGTGGCCTGAGGCCGTGGGCAGTGCTTTGCCATGTCCATCCGTTCCTCTGTCCCTCTGCAGACAGAGCCGAAGGAGAAGAGCGAAGGCGCGGTGGAAGGTGAGCGATCCGATCCGATCTGATCTGCGACCGCGGCTGGGCCGGGCTGGGCCGGGCTGGGCTGGCCTCATCTCCAGGATTCCCTCTGTGCCAGGAGGGGTGGGGACACGGGTCCCAGGGGTGGGGACAAAGGTCCTGCCATCCTGGCACAGCCCTCCACAGCCTGTGTCCCCATCTGTCCCCATGTCCTCGCCCTAGGCAGGCTGCCAGGGGAGCCCCCGAGGCCTGTCCCTCTGCGGGACAGGGCGACCCTTCCTGGCTTGCTCCACTTACCAACAATTTATGACAGCTCCATTGCCAATCCTCCTTCTTTCCAATAAACCTGAGCAGGCACAGAAGGGACTAAAACCCAGGAGAAGTCTAAACCCAGCGCTCCAGGCGCTCCAAGCACCACAGCGGCAGCGAAGGCAGCGGCAGCCCAGGGCCAGCCGGAGCCAGGGGCTGCCCTGAGCCCCCAGCCCGGGGCTGGGGATGGCACCAGGTAACCACGGGGGCACCTTCTGCCAGGCTCTGCTGGCCACAGGGGTGGCTGGTGCTGGAGAAAGGCTCTGGCTGCCAGCCCTACCAGGGGTTTCTTGTCTGCAGGATGTTCAGCTGGTTTATCCAAGGGCTGGAGAAGGTGATGCCGCAGCCAGTGACCAGGGAGAAGCAGGACACACAGGTAGGCTGCCTGATGGACAGGGAAAGAGCACGGGAACACCACATCCCTGATGAGCAGGGCGTCCCCTGCCCTGCAGATGTCACTAGATCGGTGCTGGGACCTGCTTTGGGCTGTCACCCAGTTCTGTCAGGAGAACAAGTCCCCATGACCTGCTTAGCTGATGGAAGCCAATGTTTGGCTTCTGAGCAGCAGGAGATCCTGTAGCATGTGCTTTCTTTACTGTTCCCTTGCCTTTCTGTGCAGCACTGGCTGGTGTCCAGGCTCTGGCATCTCGTGCAGGTGTGGTCCCAGCTCTAAGGAGAAGCACCAGCAGCTTTACAGAGTTCTCCCTTCCTTCCCTGGCCCCCAGGCAAACTCCTGCTCTGTACCATTGAGTGTGGGGATGCTCGTGCCCCATCCAACTTGCCACAAAAATGGGGTATTTAGAGTAAAAGGGCTACCTGCACTGAAAGGGGCATTGAGGGTAAAAAATTAAGGGTTATTGAAAATGAGAGGTGTCTCATGGTTCCCTTCTCCTCTTGACAGGGAGTGGCCACAGCAACCTCGAGTCCTGTGGAACAAAGTAAGTGATGGCTCCATTTCTTCATGGTGTTTGACTGCCAAGCTCTTTATTGGCTTGGGTTACTGGGAAGAGGGGTCACTGGCATCTTTATCCCCTGGTCTGCCCTGGGTGCCAGCTCAGGAGCCCCTGGAACCCCCCAGGGAAGCCATGGGAGGCTGTTGACACTTGAGAAGAGGGAGCTATTGCTGAGCTGTGTTGTGGGCTTGGTAAAACTCAGGCTGAGGGAGTCTCCAAGTGCAGCATGCCACAGCCTCAGGTCCTGGGTTTTCAGGTTAGTGCTGAAATCAGGGTCTGTCCTGAGCTGTGCTGGAGCTGGAGGGATTTGATCAAAGAATTACAAGGGAATTCAAACCTGATGCTTTCTTTCTCTCCTTTGGTGTTTGCCAGACCTGGTGTGAGATGTCTAGGAAGGTACCCCAGGAAAGCAAAATGCTGGGGTTAGATGTCTTAGAATGGAATCTGCATGGTTGTGGGAAAACCTGCAGGGTTCACACTGCTGCACGCCCATGGAGGGCATCAAGCACCAGCTCTGCAGGCAGGGGGGGCTTGGCTCCACTTTGGGGGATGCTGGACAAAATGCAGAGCCACAGCTGCCTCTGTGGATGGTCTGAGCAGGGTTACACACCCCTGTGCAAGTGCTGTTCCTTGAAAGGAGTGGCTGGTTGGGCTGTGGGAGCTGCTGATGGCAGCAGGGACAGTTGAGGCACATGGAAAATGCACACCCCCAGGGATATGCTGGGAGATTGCTCCCGAAGGCCAAGAGCCCCTTGGCAGAAGCTGAGAGAGGGAAATCCTGGGGGAAGGCATTTCTCCATGTGTTTGTACAAACTGGAGCCCTGTGTGCTGCCATGGAGCTCGGGAAGAGGCAGAGCCAGGGATGCTGCTGGGTGAGCACAGCCCTGGTGCCCAGCTGGCTTTGGTGCCTTGAGGCATCTCCAGGTCACTTAACCTGCCCAAGGAAGGGAATTATTGAGTCAAGCAAGAGATCTGCCCTGGCACCAGACTGCCAGCACGCTCATTAATGTTTTCCTTCTCCTTTTGTTTCAGGGGGCAAAGGGGCTTAGCGCCTCTGAAACAAACGGAAAACGAAGACCATGGCAAACCAGCCCTTCCCACACCCCAAAGAGACCAACCTGAGGAGAAAGCACAGCTGGGGAGGAAAAGCAAAGGGGAATCTGCAAATGGTGTCCAGCTCCTTCCCAGCTGGGGCAGTGGGGACCCAAGGCTGGCACAGGGACCCAGCCCCAGGGCTGTCCCACTTGGCTCCCTCTTTGCTCTGGGAATTGGAGCTGCTGTTTTTGCAGGATGGTGTCTGTGAGATGGGAGCTATAATTTACAGGATGGTAGAAAAGCATCACTCAGGACACCTCAGTGGCAGAAAGCCTCTTGCTGCAGTCTCCCAGCACCCCTGGCCCTCTCAATGCCCCCACATCTGAATATTCACCCCAAGACCCCCAGCTGAAATCTCCAGGCTTCTTTGAGTCAACTTCTGCCTCTGAGGTGTAATGTTATAAACCTCTTGAAGCTCTTGTCAGCTCCTTGTTGCTTTTCTTCCATAACTGAGTGTTTCCTCCCAGCAAGTGGAAAGGGTTCTGATTTGCAGCAGCAAATCAGGAGGGTGAGGTTATCTCTAGGTGAATAGGTTGGAGTTCATGGTTAAACATATTTGCCCAGGCTCTTCTTCTGAGAGAACTTACCCCAAACTCTCCTTACTCCCAGCTATGGCTGCTCCCTCCTGAAGCTCTCAGCTCCATGGATGCAGCAGCAGGGATGTCCCAGCAGGGAGGGGATTCCAGGGGCTGTCTCCAGCCCAGAGGTTGCAGGCAGGCATGGCCAGGGCAGGCACGCTGGGCTCAGGGCAGTGGGAGCCCCAGGTTTTGGATACAGACCTTGGAGTAGCAGTCTGGTTTGGGTTGTGAGTGACCTTTGAAGATGATCTGGTCCAACTTCCCTGTCCATTGGACAAAGTTGCTCCAGGCCCTGTCCGACCTGGCCTTGAACACTTCCAGCATGGGGCAGCCACAGCACACTATTCCTTCCTTTTGTCCAATATGAATGTCCCTCTTTCAGTTTAAAACTGTTGCCCCTTGTCCTTACAGACCTTGGTAAAAAGCCTTTTTCCATATTTTGAATAAGCCTCCGATGTATTGATAGGCCAGGTTAAGATCTCCCACTGTTGCATCTCTCAAGGACCATCCAGGCAATTCTAACAATGAGTTGTGAGCCAGGAGACCCCTTGAGATCCACCCCCTGTGTTTAAAATGAATCTTGCTTGTACCAGGACACAGTTTTAGTATTTACCACATTTTCATATAATGTATCCAAAAGCCATGGTGTGCTTTAAAAGCCATTTCTGTGATTGCTCCCCCATGTTTTAATTAATGGAAATCCAGAGGGAATGGGCTAAAGGCATTGTGGACACCATGGGGTGGGTAAATAAACCACAGATATGACACTGCACAGGTTTCCTGCCTTTCTGTAGTTCACTTTGCACATTTCCTATTAGCTTTGCTGTGGACATGTAAGTTTTGCTGTCAGGCAGACCTCAAAATAAACTGGTTTTCCAGCGAGCGGATGTGCTTCCTCCTCCTGTTTGTCTGGTGTGAGCCTGATGTGGCAGGATGGGCACCCCTGGGACAGGGAGAGGGCTCCTCATGGGTCAGACTCCTCACTCTGCAGCTGCCTAAACCCAGTAACCTGCTCTGGGTTTTGCCCCAGAGATGCTGGGAAGTGCTGTGGGATGTTCCCTGGGGAGGGTGCTCAGAGCAGGCAGGACATGGTGCTCAAGTGCTGTGATGTGGGCTCTGGGTTGGGTCTTGCAGACCCAGGGCCCTTGGGCTGTGCTAGGGCAGAAATTCACAGAGGGGAAAGGCTTTGGGCTCTTCCAGATTGCAAGGAGGGTGAAAACATGGCCTGGAGGTGGGCCAGGACACTGCTGGTGGAGGAGGCTGCACGTGCAGGGCAGCCAGCACTCATCTGTGTGCACAGGATTGTGGCTTTCATAGACTCACAGCGTGGTTTGGGTTGGCAGGGCCCTTAAAGCTGAACCAGTTCCACCCCCCTTGCTGTGGGCAGGGACATTTCCACTAGACCAGGTTGCTCAAGGCCTTGGTGGGGTTTTGGCTGTGCTTGGCAGAAAATGGTGAATTTTCTTCTTCCTTCTGACAAAGGAGCCCAAGGCACCTGGGCAGCCCAGCTCAGGGGTGATGCTGTTGAGTCAGGGACAGAAAGAAAGACTCCAGTCCTCAGGTGGATCAGAAGGCCCCTTTGGTGAAAGTTGTGGGTCTTTTTATCATGTGGTGATAAGGTGATCCTTGACTGGTCTCAAAGTAGAAGCATCTCACTCACACTATTGGCATACTTTGAACAGCACACTGTGGAGAACCATAACTATAAACAATGGTTACAGAAAGAGAGATAATAATTGTTTTAGTTCTTTTCCTCCAAGATTCCCAGGCTCTCCCAGCCTGGGAGAAATTGTCTCTGTTCTTTCTTGGACTGAACTGGGAATATCCACACAGGGGCAGCAGGGCTGCCCAGCTCTGGGCAGGCTGAGAGCTGCTTCAGCACTGCCCCACTGAGCACAGCAAACCTGGGCCCTGCCCTGGCTCTGGAGAAGCTGCTGCTGTCCCTGTCCCTTCATCACCTCCCTCTCCCCGTTCCTGTTTCAGTTCATGCAGCCCCTGGGCAGCAGGAGGAAACCCATCTCATCCTGGAAGAGATGGAGGATGGCCAGATGAATGAAGAGATGACAGCCTGGGCTCAGGAGGCTGAGCTGCAGGCAGATCCTCATTCCCTTCCCACCATACAGGAGGAGCCTCAGGAAGAAGAACCCAGGTAGGGGAAGGGAGATGCTGTTGATGGGCAGGTCTGTGTGCTCTCCAGCCACCAGTGTGGTGCCCATGGGAGGGGACAAACCTTTCCCTGGGCATCCATCCTTGCAAGGGCTGGTGCTGGCAGCCAAGGTGCCTGTTTCCAAAAAGGAGGACATCCCCCAGCAGGATCCAAAAGGTGCTTGATCAAATATCTTTTTCTCCTGGTGTCTCAGGTTAGTGCAGAGCCACGGGAGCAATGTTCACAGTGCCTTGCAGAGGACAGGTGAGGGAGGCTCTGCTTGGGCTCCTGTGAGTAGAATTTGGCCCCAGGGCAAGAGGCTTTGTTCCAGCAGTGGTGCATGCAGCTGGAATGCCATTCAGAAATGGAAGCTGTCTGTAGAATTCATCCTTGCTTCTGCCATAGAAACCATGCTGGGGTCTGCCCAAGGGCTGGGCAGTGTGTTCAGAGCTGGGGGGCTTCAACTCATGAGCTTCTCCTTTCCAGAATCTGTTTGTGCTCCCCAAACACTGCCAAGGGGGATGAAGAAAAGGAGGAGGAGGAGAAGAAAGAGGAGGAGGAGGAGGAAGAGAGGAAGAAAGAGGAAGAGGAAAGGAAGAAAGAAGAAGAGGAGAGGAAAAAAGAGGAAGAGGAGATGAAGCAAGAGGAGGAGAGGAAAGAAGAGGAGATGAAGCAAGAGGAAGAGGAGAGGAAAGAAGAGATGAAGCAAGAGAAAGACAGGAAAGAGGAAGAGGACAGGAGAAAGGAGGAAAAGGAGAGGAAGCAACAGGAGGAGGACAGGAAAGAGGAGGAAGAAGAGAGGAGGAAAGAGGAAGAGGACAGGAAAAATGAGGAAGAGGAGATGAAGCAAGAGGAGGAGGAGAAGATGAAGCAAGAGGAGGAAGACTGGAAAAAAGAGGAAGAGGAGAGGAAGAAAGAGAAGGAGGAGAACAGGGAAAATGGGGAAGAGGAGAGGAAGATAGAGGAGGAGGACAGGAAGAAAGAGGAAGAGGAGAGGAGGAAAGAGGAAGAGGAGAGGAAGATAGAGGAGGACAGAAAGGAAGAGGAGAGGAAGGAGGAGGTGAAGAAGAAAGAAGAGAAGAGGAAGAAGGAGGAGGTGAAGAAGAAAGAGGAGAAGAGGAAGAAAGAGAAGGAGAGGAAAAAAGAGAAGGAGAAGAAGAAAGAGGAAAAGAAGAAAGAAGAAGAAGAAGAAGATAAGAAAGAGGAGGAGCAGCAGGAGAGTGCAGAGTGAGTGGCTCCCGTTGCCTTTAGGGCTTTGTTGGAAACGAGCGTGATTGCAGCTTTTGTTTCAAGTGCGTTCACCAGCTGGAGAGGCTGAAACACCCACGGCACAGCAGAGCTCCCAGCCTGGCAGGCTGGGCAGGGATGGCTGTGCTGGGCAGGGATGGCAGGCAGGAGGGATGGCAGCAGAGAGGGATGGCAGGCAGGAGGGATGGCACGCAGGAGGGATGGGTGTTCTGGGGAGGGATGGCACGCAGGAGGGATGGGCAGGCAGGAGGGATGGCAGGAGAGAGGGATGGGCAGGCAGGAGGGGTGGCAGGCAGGAGGGATGGCACGCAGGAGGGATGGCACGCAGGAGGGGTGGCAGGCAGGAGGGATGGCACGCAGGAGGGATGGGCAGGCAGGAGGGATGGCACGCGGAAAGGATGCTTTGGCCACCGGCTGCCCCAGGGCTCGCTGCTGACGCGGCACCTGGTGACAGGAGCGTCTCCTGGTGACTCGGGCTCCGTCTCCATCGCGGCCGCCCGTAGCAACCGCAGCCCCTCCTGCGCCTTTGGGAGGCGGGAGCTGCCAGCTCCGGGAGATGGGCCGTGCTGTTTAAACCGTGCCCATTAATTCAGGGCACTCGAGATTATTTTGAGTGCTACAGAGCTGAATGTAAAGACAGGATGATGTGTTGATGATGCTTCATACAAGTAGGTACAATTTTACATTTTTTCCTGTTGTAGAAAATAGCCGAGGTCTTGTGGAAGGTGGTGACTTTGGTCTGGATGCTATTGGGAGACATCTTTCTGCTCAGATTAGTAGTTTGCTCTGATTTCACATGAGATAAACATTTAGGGATTTATTACCTAGCACTACAATATTATTCTGTGTTAATTCCTCTAAAGTAGCTAGATTTTCAGGAAGGAGCTGAAAACACATGATTACTCACTGTTAAACCCATATGTTTGTATTTCATCAAAATCTGTTCCTGGAGCTTCATTGTAGAAACTTGAGCTTCAGTTGTGGGCTGAATGAGATGCTACTCCATCCTTCAATGTGTTTGTTTACTGGGAAAAGAGAGACCAACAGGTCTCCCTTGGTCTAGTTTAGGAAGGAAAGATTTTTTTTTTTTTTTAGTTTAGATTTTCTAGTTTAGGATGGAAAGATTTGTGACCACATTTGAAGGGAGCATAATTTCAAATATGAAGGGGGGAAATTATTAAAAATAACAAAACAAATATTTTCATGCATTTAGCTGTCATAAAATTCTCATTATGCCAAATCCCTGCTTTGCATTTTTTTCCAGGAAAGAGCAAATCAAGAGGTAAATGCACAGAGCAACATTTGAGGTGCTTTTATTTCAGTTATGAAGTTATATTAAAGCAACAAAATCAGTCTTGAGAGCCCCTTTGTCAGAATGGTGGAGCTGAGGCCTGTGCTTGCTTAGGAAGGAAAATGAGAATTATGTGTCCTGGTGGTGTCTTGCACAGGCAAACATGGGATTTGAATAGTGCTTGTGGGAAAGCCTTGCCTGGAAATTAGATTTTGGCTTTTTATTTGTCCCATTTTAATTATATGAGAAATGATGCACAGGAGGAGAAACATTCTGCCTGGATCTTTCTGCCTGTGCAGGTTTTGCCCATGCCCATGCAATGCCCTGATTTATTTATTACCTCTCACCTGGTCTCCCATGCAGTATTTTTTCTCTCCCTTCCAGACCCCTGCTGCAGCCTCCTTGTCCCCCTGCTGATGAGGGTGTGGATGAAGCCTGCCTTGCCCAGGAGGCCCTCAGGGCTGAGCAGCTGGAGGAAGTTGAGATAAGTAATCTGCAAGGTGCCCTCGTGCAGGTACAGCACCGCTCCCTGCTTGGCTCCCTGCACTGGGCTCCTGCTCTGCCCGGGGGCTCAGAGCTTCTCAGAGGGATGCAGTGCCCTGGCAGGAGCAGGCTGGGCTGGGCACAGGCCATGCTGCCCACCAGGGTGGCCCCATCCCTGAAGCTGGGCCAGCAGAAGTGGCTGTGGGTGGAGGGAAGGCTCCTCTCACCCTCCAGAGTGGGCACTGAACAGGCTGAGAGTCTGAGCAGGAGGGACATGGGGCAGCCAGTCAAGCTGCAAAGGCTGCTCTTGCACTGACAGAATGGGCTTTTTCTCCTTAAAATGGCTTTCTTTTTCATTTTGAAGGTGGAAGAGGAGACAGCTGAAGCTGCTGAAACTGATGCTGAAGGTACAAGGTGTATGGTGCCAGACTGGGATGGAGTGAGGCAGGGATGGGGGGAGAACCCAGCTTCTCCTCTCCTGCTGGCAGGGAGCAGGGAGCTGACTTCTCTGCAGCCTGCAGGGCCAGTCAGGGCTGTTCACAGGGCAAAACATCCTGTGGGCACAGCACAATGGCAATATTGGCATTGTCTGGAGCTAGCTCTGAATGTACAATGCTTAGTCCTGTTGATTCAGCAATCCCTGATGTGAAATAAGGGTTTCTCCTTCAGTTGGAGGATGTACAGGGATAAAAGGTATTTTTTCTACCACTTTTCTCCCTTTGGGAAATAACCAGTGGCATAAAACACATTTTAATATAACATTTTAGGAAGCAACAGTTGGTAATGAAAATTAGGTGGTGAGTTCCCATTGCAGCCTGACTGAGCAGAGGCACATCCTGGCAGAACTCCACTGGCATCAGGAAGTTGCAGAGGGAATGGCTTGCCCTCACCCCTGAGATTCTCTGCATGCAGCCCTTGCAGAGGGACAATGATGCTGGAAAATGCTGATTTGTCAGGAACTGTAGTGATAGGACAAGGAGTAACGGGTACAAAGTGAAAGAGAGGGAATGTAAGTTAAATTATTAGGAAGAAATTCTTCCCAGTGAGGGTGGTGAGATACAGAAATATGTTGCCCAGGGAAGTTGTGGATGCCCCAACCCTGGCAGCACTCAAGGCCAGGCTGGATAAGACCTTGACCAGCCTGGAGTAGCAGATGTCCCTGCCCATGGGACACGACCTTTAATGTCCCTTCCACCCCTTCACCTTCTATGACTCCATGAAAAACACGTGCTGGGATGCCCAGCACTGCCACCAGCCCCTGTGAGCAGCAGCAGCAGCCCCAAACCCGGGTCAGCCCCACATCCCTGCCATGCCACATCCCTCCCTTCTCACACCACTCTGTTCTGTTGCAGCTGCAGATGCCTTGTCCCTTGCTTGAAGCTCCCAGCAGCCGCTAGCAGCATGGCCAGGCGGGCCCAGGACGTCGAGCTCTTCCAGCTGGTGCATGACAAGCCCTGGGCTGGCAGAGCCCCCTCCCCTGCTGGCCACGGGGCTCTAGAGCAGCTGCCCAATGTCCCCAATGTCCCCAATGTCCCCAGCTGCCGAGTCCCCGCTGCCACCCCTGTCCTTGCCACCAGCAAGCCAAAGGCTGGAGTTGTCAACCCCAATTTTTGCACTGAGGAGCACTCCCCACTAGGTATTAGAGATGTTGGCTTTGATGCCTTGTGTAGCTAGAGGGGTTGCAGGGGGGGTTCCTGGAGTAGTTGCTTTTTTTGTTGCTTTCTGGGAGGGGGGGAAGAATTAAAAAAAAAAATAAAAGCACGCTTCATGTTGCAGCACAGAGGCTGGGGAACAAAACCCACGTGTTTGTTTGCTTCTGCCTCATCACTATGTGCCTTTTTAGCCAAGCCTAGAGAGTGTCTGCAGATGCTGTGTGTTTAGAGCTGCTCAGAAAAGCTCTCCTGAAGGAGCTGCAGGCAGAGGGTGCAATATCACCACACACAGTTTTCTCTCCAGCATTTGTGCAGCCTGCTCATGCTAACGGGAGAGGAAGGTGGAGGTTTGCTGCTCATGGCTTTCTGCCTTTTCTGCACCTTTGCTTTGCTTTGTTTTTCACCAGCAAGCTGAATTCTGCTGCTTTTCCTGACATGCAACAGGATTTTAACTTTGCTACCCAAACAGGCTTTTTCTCAGGCATTTAATCCAGCCACACTGATCCCCTAGCTTCACATCAGTGTGAGGTAGGAGGAGGTGCATGGGGTCTCTCAGATGTGTGAAAAGAAAGAAATCCTGCAGGAATTAATTTTATTTTGTCGAATAGGTAAGAGAGACATCACACTTCACAGCCAAGTGACTGTGGGGTCTGGCCAAGGTAGCCCCAGTGCCTTTCTCCTTTGGACAACTGGCATCTTTCTTTACCCACTATAAACATCCAACCTTCCTGCCTCTGACCTTGCCTGTGGCAGGAAGCAGTTATTACCTCTGCAGAAGAAAGAAACCATAAATGCTTATTGAAATAGTGCCTTATTCTGCATGAAAAGCAAACACTGTGTGGTTCAGGGCTGTCACAATCCATGTGTTTGCATTCAGAAGAACCAGGAGAATCTCTACACTCTGGGAGGCAGGTTTGCTCCTGGAAATCCTGGGTTCCTGCATGGCACCTGCAGCTGGGAATCCTAATTTCCATGGTTTTCCAAACCACAGGAGCCCAACACTCAGATGGAGTAGCTGCAATCACTGCAAGCTGGGCAAGCAGAAGGGCAGCAGATGGCAGTTCTTAGACTGTTAAAAACCGGGAAAAAAAAAAAAAAAAAAAAAAAGATAAAGAAGTGCTCCAAATGCTTAGGAGAAAGGAGAGCCAGGCAAGAAGGGAAGGGAGGGAGAAGGAGAGTCCTTCCCACACTCTGCAGGGCCTGGGGGCAGCTCTGGGCTCTGGGGAGCCATCCTGGCTGCAGGGGGGCCCTGTGCCCCCCTCACCTGCCATTATTGTCCTTCCCCACGGAGCAGGTCATCCCCCCACCGTGGAGATCAAGGATGTGGACAGCCCAGAGCGTGCTGTGGAGATCCACGGCACCTATGGAGAGCTGCCTGCTGCCGGCGCTCCCAACCTGCTGGCCGTGCCCGGTGCTGCATCCCCCAGGTACGGCTCTGCTGGGGCTGCATCCCCCAGGCACAGCATCCCCCAGGCACAGCATCCCCCAGGCACAGCATCCCCCAGGTACAGCATCCCCCAGGTACAGCATCCCCCAGGTACGGCTCTGCAGGGCACAGCATCCCCCAGGCACAGCATCCCCCAGGTACGGCTCTGCAGGGGCTGCATCCCCCAGGCACAGCATCTCCCAGGCACAGCTCTGCCCAGCACAGCATCCCCCAGGCACAGCATCCCCAGGTACGGCTCTGCAGGGGCTGCATCCCCCAGGCACAGCATCCCCCAGGTACGGCTCTGCCGGGGCTGCATCCCCCAGGTACAACATCCCCAGGTATGGCTCTGCCTGGTGGTCCCAGCTCCCCCTGAGGCTGCCAGCACAGGAACATTTATTATCCACATTTTTCCATGTGGAGATGCTCATTCCCAGCAGATTTGGAGAGTGCTGTGTGTGCAGTGGGTGTCACCCCAGTGCACAGCAGAAGAGATGGCCAAAGCCTTGCCTCTTGTTTACATTTTTAAATTACATTTTGTTTAAAGCTTCTGTGGTCAGGGACAGCCCTGTCTGTGTGTCCTCCTGGAGATGGGCTGGATCCTCAGGCCATGGGCAAATCCCATTTGTCTCTCTTCCCAAATTTAGAGCACAGAGGGTCTATGTGCTCGATATGAGCTTGCATCTTAAAAATAATCCATCTTCTTGTATTTTTGCTGCAAGGGTTTGCAGCATGTCCCCCCTGGGTTTGAGCTTTCAGAGGAGTGGTGGAAACTCCATCCTGCAAAGTGCTTCAGGCCAGGCTGGATGGGGCTTGGAGCTACCTGGTCTAGTTGGAAGGTGTCCCTTCCAAGCCACATCATTCAGTGATTCTATGCTTGGAGAGAGGGAGGATTAAAACTGAGCTTTAAAATTTAGGCTGGAGGAAGCTGTGGATTTTTTCTAGGTTTTTTTGAGGCTCACCCTTGCAGAGGATTCAAAATAAAAGCTAAAGTAGGATTCTTTTCTGTGCTGTAATCCAGGTGCTGTAGTCATTCTCACTTAATAGTTTGGATCTTTTAGTTTTTGCTCCTGGAGGAGCAAAAGAAAAAAAAAAAGCAAAAATGTCCACAATCTGGTTTGTTGAACAGCTTAAAAAAATGGCAAAAATGTCCACAATCCTGTTGAACAGCTAAAAAAAATGACAAAAATGTCCACAATCCATTTGAACAGCTATTTATACTGGGACAGCAGAGCCCAAGGCTTCATGTAAAATACTTGCAGTGAAAATATTGCCAGCATTAAACATATTTGCAGTTACACATGTGAGCATATAAACCCTTCTGCTGGGTCTCCAGGGAGTGTCTCAAAACAACACTGGGTATTTTTAAAAGCAAGGAACTCCTGTTCTCCTACATAAAGAAATAAAAATTGATTCTTGTGAGCCAGAAGGAAAATGCTCATGTCCTGCTGGTGTTTCCAGAGGAAGAAGACATAACTGCACTGAGCAGTCACCCAGCATCTCTAAATCCCTTCCACTGGCCACAGCCTGGAGTGATTTCCTACATGGCTCTGGCAGGGCCCTTTTCTTGGGAAATGAAGGTTCATCAGTCTTGTTCACCTGCTCCACCTCCCAGCAGGACACACCTGGGAGCCAGAGAGGCTGAAGGTAGTGGGTTCCCAGCATTTGAATCCCATTTGACTCCCATTTCTTTGGGAGATTTGTGCTGGCAGGATGACCTCCCTCAGCACCCTGCCTTCTCCTGCCCCACACACAGCACTGAGACATTCTGTGCCATGGCCAGTGGGATCTGCACTTGTGGTGGCTGGAGACAATTCCCTCATCACAGCTGAAGTTCTGGGCTTGCCTGCAGGTTTGCAAACCAGTCTAGATTTTTGCTGGGAGTGCTATCTTCATATTCAGCTTCCCTTCTGACACCTTTTGTGCCCACATGTAAGGAATTCACCTGAGAAACCCATCTGTGCCAAAGGGAGCCCCGGCTGTGGTAGGACACAAGCTCTGGGTGCTCTGACATTGCATTTTCCTTGCCCCTTGAAGTGCAGTGATGTGGAGCTGTGGCACTGGGGGCAAGCACAGGATGATGCCTGCCCTCTGTGCCTGTTGCCAGCTACCCAAACTGAGTTGGAAAATGGGCCAGGTGGCTGCATGTCCATGGCTGGTGCTCAGGGAGAAGCAGAGCCTCAGCAGGAAAGGAGCAGGGGGCTCACTCCCAACTACCCCAGGCAATGGCAAAAATTAGGGGAAACTGACCCCAGTAGGAGAAGGGGGAATGGAAAACAGGTCACACCTGGGAGGAGGAGGAGGAGGAGGGAGAGGGGCCAAGCCAACCCTTGGTCTCTGTGTTTGTGTCTGCAGGAGGAAGCAACTGCTCCCAGAGGATGCTCTGGACAAGGGGCTGGTGAGCCAATCCCCCAGCCAAGGGCTGGGCTGGGACCAGGAGCAGAGGGAAAGGTGAGAAATGGGCCCAGGGGCTCCAGATCAGCCAGGGGTTCACATCCTGGGGCTTGGGTGGAAATAGCAAACACCCCAAATATCCTTTGGGATACCAAAGGGAGAGGGAGCCATGCCAGTTTGTGTTCTTCTCAGTACACAATACCCAAACAAACACAGGTAAATCCTAATTCAGATGCTGCAGGTTAGAGAATGGGTGATGACTGGGTGATGGTTCAAGGCCAGGTTGGATGGGGCTGGGAGCAGCCTGGTCTAGTGGAAGATGTCCCTGCCCATGGCAGAGAGGCTGGAACGAGATGAGCTTTAAGGTCCCTTCTAACCCAAACCATTCCAGGTTTCTATGACCCTGTGAACCTGCCCTGGCCTTTCCTTTCCCTTCTAACCCAAGCCATTCCAGGTTTCTATGACCCCAATAACCTGTCCTGGCCTTTCCTACCTCCATGCAATGCCCTCTGGTGTCCCCCAGCCTCCCCGAGCGCATCGGCTCGGCCTCGAGCCTGAGCAGTGCCATCATCAACACCCGGCTCCAGGAGCTGGTGAGGCTCTTCAAAGAGAGGACTGAGAAGGTGAAGGAGAAGCTGATTGACTCTGATGTCACCTCAGATGATGAGAGCCCCGTGGCATGTGAGTCCAGATGGGGCTGGGAATGTTTCCCTGGTGGGTCCCCATACACGCCGTGTTTTCTGGGAGGCAGCTGTTTTATTAACAGTTCAAAGACCTTAAGAAAAACTGGCATAAGAAGATTTTTTTCTTCCCTTTGAAATAACTGTGTGGCCTCTCCCAGCTCCCACCAAGCCAGCACCTGCAGCAGCAGCAGTGCCTGCCCCAGGAGGGGAGCTGGAAGGGGACAAACCTTTGGGGGATGACCACTACTGCGAGATGCTGTGCTGCACGTTCAAGCGCCGGCCCTGGCTGGAGCACCTGAAAAGTTACCAGTTCCCCAGCAGCATTGACCCCCTGACCAGTGAGTGATGGGGCACAGTCTGGGCTGGGGGCACGCTGGTGGGACTGGGGGAGAGAGGGTGATGGGGTGGGGGGAGAAAAACTAAGCAAGAAGAAACTTAGTTTTTTCACTAAAGCTCAGATTTTTAAATTCCTCTGCAAGGCAAAGGCTTTCCTAAATACTTCCAGCTGTGGGTGTCAGCAGCAGGACTGGGCATTCTGCTTTCCCTGTGGTGTGGATACCCTCCCAAAAAATTAAAATCACAAAAGATTCTGTGTGCCCACCCCACAGAAGCCCAGCTCTTTCCTTAGTCTTTCATATTCCTCAGTCCTTTGGAAGCCTCTGGGCTCAGGCAGCCAGCCACTAGCTCAGCATGGCTGGAGGGTAAAAACAAAAACAGGGAAATTGCAGTTGTGAGAGCAGAGCAAAAGCAAATATAGCTGAATGAGCAAAGTTAGAAGAAGCTTTCTGCTAAAACGTGGTATGTTCTGTGACCAGGGGTGTTCACTCTGCTAGAGATCAAACACTGTCACCAAGAGGCTTCCTGCAGGTTTTCCTTTGTGCTGAGGGCAGGTCAGGGGATGGAAACCCCTCTGTGAGGAGGATTCCCCCAGAGGTGGGATGTGTTTCCAGCTGATGGTGGTGCTGTTCCCTGTGTGCAGATCTGATGTACGTGCTGTGGCTGTTCTTCGTGGTCATGGCCTGGAACTGGAACTGCTGGCTGATCCCCGTCCGCTGGGCCTTCCCCTACCAGACCCCAGCCAACATCCACTACTGGCTGCTGGTGGATTACCTCTGTGACCTCATTTACCTGCTGGACATCCTCATCTTCCAGACCCGGCTGCAGTTCGTGAAGGGGGGAGACATCATTGTGAGTGGCAAGGCACTGCATCCAGCACTGGGCACCAGCTGGGGCACCCCCACCCCATCACCCTGAGGGTGCTGCTGGACCCTGAACTGAGCCCTCTCACCGTGGCCATGGCCATAAGGTGCTGCTGGACCCTGAACTGAGCCCTCTCACCATGGCCATGGCCATCAGGTGCTGCTGGACCCTGAACTGAGCCCTCTCACCATGGCCATGGCCGTCAGGGCTCTGTCCAGTCCCAGACACCACGAGCATCTCTCCTGACACTGACTGGATAAGCCAGCAGTCTTTTTATCTGCCCAACACACTGTTTTCCCCTATGAAATCAGTTCCATCCTATCCAGCACTGTGTGGCATTCCTGTTGCTGGGCAGGGATGCCTGCAGGGTGCTGCTCCAAGGGGTGGCTCTGCCCATGGTGAGGGGCTCACTGACTGGCCCTGGCACAGCCGTGTGGTGCCAACCTTGGGCATGGGTGTAACAAACTCTGGGGTTAATTTTCAGGAGCACACCAGGCAGGATGTGTTAGCAATTGCAATCTGAACACACAGATCACTCCCTTGAGATAAGGGAAGCCCTGGATTTCATTTCCATATTCAATTAAACAAACTGAAAAACCACACCTTGAGGGTGCAGCCTTCCCATGCCCATGCAGATGCTCAGACAGGCAGTTTCCCCTGCAAATGCTGATTTTGTGGTGCTGGCACTGTGATGTGCTTTTCCTGGGATGCAAAATCAACACAGGATGTCCCAGGGTAGGATGGGAAGATGGCATACAGCCAGGGCTTCTCTGCTTGCTCTTCTCCCCTTTCCAGGCACAAAGGGAGCATCTTCCCTGTTGTGGTGCAGAGGAGGAAAGCCAGGCATGACCACACTGGCCCTAGCTTTCCTTTCTCTAAGCAATAATCAATATTCTTCTCTCTCTCCCCTTCCTGTTCCCCCCAGACTGACAAAAAGGCCATGAAAGAGAACTACCTGCGATCACAGCGCTTCAAGGTTTGTCAGCACTGTCCTTATTCACCTGAATCTTTCCCCTGCCCTGTGGGTTCAGCCCCACCTCAGGGCTCCTGCAGCTCCCCACAGAGGTGTCTCCCTGTGTGGATTTCAGATGGATGTGCTGTGCCTGCTGCCCCTGGATTTACTCTACTTCAAAGTGGGTGTGAACCCCCTGCTGCGCTTCCCCCGCTGTCTGAAGGTGAGCCAGGGCTCACAGAGCCAGAGCAGCACAGGGCACAGAGGGATCCTCTGCTGCCTGGGTGAGCTCTGCCTGCTCAGACCCATCCATGATGACAGGAGGATTACAAAATGGAGGGGAGTTTTGTCCCAAAGGCTTTGCAGGTCACACACTTAATTTCAATCCTAAACCACTCACGTTTGACTAGAAGGGCACTGAAGGATGGAGACAAATCTGCCTGTGGCAGTCCATGCTGCAGAGGGGCTGCAGCAGGGAAATGAGGGGGGTTTTATGGGGAGGGGATTCTCCCAGGGGAACCTGGAACCTGCAGCTCTCCTTCTCCTCCCAGTACATGGCCTTCTTCGAGTTCAACAACCGCCTGGAGGCCATCCTGACCAAGGCATACATCTACAGGTGAGGGTCCTGGGGGGAAGGAGGGAGCATGGAACTGCTCTTTGCCACTGGGGAGGAATGTTCCCTTCATTCTGCACTGTTCTGGCCCTTGATTTCTTTACCTGCTGTGCCTGGGCTGGCTGACATGGACTTTGGCTGATGTGGTGGGACATGAGGCTGCCAAAGCCTGCATGGGTAGGAACACCTCTCTCCAGCCCACAGGGACAGGGTTGCTGGCAGTGAAGGAGAGCCATCAGCAGATAAACTGCTTTTCCTGGCACTTCTGGAGCTGCAGGAGGCAGCAGCAGGGTTGGGATGCTCTGTCACCTGTATGGTCACCACTTCAAGGCCTGGCAGACCTCATGTCCCTTCCTGCTCTCTCCTGGGTTTTTCTGCAGAGTGATTCGCACCACTGCCTACTTGCTGTACAGCCTGCATGTGAACTCCTGCCTCTACTACTGGGCATCAGCCTATGAAGGACTGGGCTCCACCACCTGGGTCTATGATGGGGAAGGAAACAGGTACAGGCCAGGGCTGGGGGTCTCACACAGCACAGCCTGCTGGAGCTGGAGCAATAGGGAGGTGTTGGGATGCAGCTGGATTCATGAAAACCCCTGAAGCAAAGGGTCGGGAGTGCCAGGAGATGATGTGGAGCCAGGGAGAATGGCAAGGACAGCAGGGATGGGATGTGCAGTAATACACAGTGCTGCAAGATGAGGCTGCAGCTGGGTAGAGGTGGAAAGCAGCTGCAGGTTGAAGGGGCTGGGATCCTGGTGCTGGGAAGCAAAGGAATGCTCCCTGGCCAACCAGGAGACATTCAAAGCATGAATCCTGCTCCTGTCTGTGCTGGCTGTTGCCAGGCGGGGATGGAGGAGGGTCCCTGTGTGTCCCTGTGCCAGGCCCCCCAGACCTGTGGGTCTCTCTCAGAGTGTGAGATGGGGACAGTGGCCAGCCCTTCCCCTCACCATGGCAATACCTGCGTTAAATGTCCTCTGTGCAGTCAGGGATTGATGCCACAGGCAGAGTCCTTGGCTCACAAGCTGAATGCCCACACCTGTGTTAATGGTGCTGCTAGAGAGTTGTTTTGTATGATGTACAAATCTGTGTCCATTTTCAGGTGGAAACAAAACACCCAAGGGAATGCCCAAGACCAGGGAACCAGGAATTCACTTGGCTTCCCTTAAATGCTATTCCAACAATTTGTTCACAAACATGTTTTTCCCCCTGATCATTTCTGAAAGTGTAAATTTGGCTGAAAATATGTTGCTGCTTTATGGCAGAGGAGCAGAAACCCGGAGTAACCAGAGCTGAGCCTCCCAGGTGGAGGTTCCTGGAGGGACCATAGGTTCCCCTGCTCCTGTAGCATCTCCAGAAGCACCTGCTGGTGTGGTGGGGAGTCTGAAGCCCTTCAGTTTTTCCTTTTGTCATCCATAATTACTCTCAGCAGGCTCTGGCTTGCCATGGCCAGAGTCTGTGAGCTCAGTGCTGAGGGGTGAAACAGAAATGCCTTCAGAGCTGCCTCCTCTTCTCCTTTCCTCCTCCTCTCCTCCCAGCTACATCCGCTGTTACTACTGGGCAGTGAAAACCCTCATCACCATTGGGGGCCTGCCAGACCCCAAGACCCTGTTTGAGATCGTCTTCCAGCTGCTGAATTACTTCACAGGGGTCTTTGCTTTCTCTGTCATGATAGGGCAGGTGAGTTGGAGTCAGGGGGGATTTATAGCCTCAGGTGGGGGTGGTTTTGGTGGGTTTGATCCACAGGTTTGCCTCTCTGGGTTTGTTTTCCCCATGGGAAGAAAAAAAGGATTTGGCAGATGCTGGTAGGGCTCAGCTTACATCCTTAACCTGCTGATGGATAAGTGACAGCAGCTTAAAGTTCTCCTCCACCTCTTCCTTTCAGATGAGAGACGTGGTTGGTGCTGCTACTGCAGGACAAACGTACTATCGGAGCTGCATGGACAGCACCATTAAATACATGAACTTCTACAGGATCCCCAGGGCAGTGCAGAACAGGGTGAAGACGTGGTACGAGTACACATGGCACTCCCAAGGCATGCTAGGTGAGATCCAGCCACTGCAAGGCTGAATGCTGAATCTCATGTTTTATCTCGTGTGGTTATTCTGCAGAGCTGAAATGTTACTGTCAAACAGCACTAGAGTTTGGGGGTGGAGGGTGGCTTATTGTAATCTTCAGTGTAGGGGCTGGTTTGCCCACCCATGGAGCTTACGGACTGCCTCTAGGTCACAGCAGCACTTTGGTGACCTGGCATCACCCACAGCACATTGAGTCCCGTGTCCCAGGTGCCCTGGAGAGAGGACAGTGACTGTCCATCAGTGGCCAGAGTGTGTCCAGCAGCAAAGCCTCCAGCTCACCCTACAGTGAGTCATCAGGCAGGACCAGAACCCCTGTGCCCACCCTCCTGGATAAGGAAAATGCTGATTTGGGCTTGGTGGTCTGTTTCTGAGAGCCATCAGGGCAGGGATAATGCAAGGGTGATTTTCCATCACACTTCAGATTTAGACCTGCAAGTTGCTGGGTGGGCAGAGGCTCCTGCCCTCTGCCACCACAATGTGGGCTGCTTCCCCACTGCCCCACGAAGGACACATTCCCAAATCCAGTGCTGGAAGCAGCCACTTTTCTGCTCTGTCTCACAGATGAGTCAGAGCTGCTGGTGCAGCTGCCAGACAAGATGAGGCTGGACATCGCCATCGACGTGAACTACAACATCGTGAGCAAAGTGGCCCTTTTCCAGGTACCCTCTGCAGCACAGCCCTGCCTGGCACAGCCTGCCATGCCAGCACACACTGAGGCTGGCATGTTTTGGCTCTGTTTGGGCTCAGGGCTGTGACAGACAGATGATCTTTGACATGCTGAAGCGGCTCAGATCGGTGGTGTACCTGCCCAACGACTACGTGTGCAAGAAGGTAAAGGGATGCTTGGGAGTCACAGCCAGGCTGTGCAGGGCACAGGGAGAGCCAGGCCTGGCCCATCACCCTGCTGAGCCACCTCACAGGGAGGGAATTTGGAGCAAAAACACCCTCAGTGGCAGGTGGCCTTGTACAAAGCAGCTCTGAACAGCAGGGGAAAGCTTGTCGGGTGTGGTGGTGTTCACAGGGGTCCCAGGAAGAGAGAAGAGACGAGGATCTGACTCCATGTTTCAGAAGGCTTGATTTATTATTTTATTATATATATTATATTAAAACTATACTAAAAGAAGACAAGAAAGGATTTCATCAGAAGGCTAGCAAGCAAGAAGAAGAATGATAACAAAAGCTTGTGTCTGACCGAGACAGTCTGGACAGCTGGGCTGTGATTGGCCATTAATTAGAAACAATCGACATGGGCCAATCACAGATGAATCTGTTGCATTCCACAGCAGCAGATAATCATTGTTTGCATTTTGTTCCTGAGGCCTCTCAGCTTCTCAGGAGAAAAAAATCCTAAGGAAAGGATTTTTCATAAAACATCATGGCTACAGTTGGGGTCTTGGGGATGCTGAGATGAGAATGCTCAGGAGTGAGCACCATCAAGACATTTTGGGAGCTTGGAGAGGGCAGTATGGCCATGGGGATTCCCAGCAGGATGCTCCTTAGGGCATCCCTGAGGTGTCCCTGTTTCTGGGCACCCCAGGCAGCTCCCCCTTCCTTGCAGGGAGAGATCGGCCGGGAGATGTACATCATCCAGGCGGGACAGGTGCAGGTGCTGGGGGGACCCGACGGCAAATCCGTGCTGGTGACTCTGAAAGCTGGATCTGTCTTTGGGGAAATCAGGTGAGAGAAGCATTGCCAGGGAGCTGGGGAAACACAGCCTGTGGGTGAGCAGGATGGGAAGTGGAGGGATCAGCAGCATCCCAATTAATCTTTGTGACTGAGAGCCATGAATGCTGGGCAGAGGCTGAGACGCAAATCACAGCTTTCCTGCTGTTTCTGTCATCATGTTGTCTTCTGCCTGGGGAGCTGGTGATGGTAAACAGGGGAATATGGATGGAGGAATGGGAAAATTGATCAGAAAAGGTGTTTCACAAATACAGTCTCCCAGCCCTTCCACGGGAATGAAAAGCCCTGCACCGGTTGGTAGCACAGCAATACTGCTGCCTCCCCACAGCCCAGTATTGTGTAAAACGCAATATTTAACCCTTCAAACCCACAAATAATATTTTATATAGTACTCCATGCAAGGTTTCCCTTTATCATTCTTTAAAAACAGCACGATAAATCCCATCAGGAGTGAAAATTAAAGTCTGAGTCCCCTGAAAGAGAGAGGTGCAGACGTGTAAAGGAGATTTGCAGTTCCGAGCCTGCCAACAGAGGTGTTGATGTCTCGCATTGTCTCTCCCAGCCTGCTGGCAGCAGGAGGGGGAAATCGCCGCACAGCAAACGTCGTGGCCCACGGCTTCGCCAACCTTTTTATTTTGGAGAAGAAAGACTTGAACGAGATTTTGGTGCATTACCCGGAGTCTCAGAAGCTGCTGCGCAAGAAAGCCAAGTGCGTGCTTGGGCTGCTGCCTTCTGGGGTGTAAAACCAGCAGAGCCGGGGCTTCGCAGTCTCGGGGGGGTTTCTCTCTGTGTGAAGCCCTGGGATGCTCCTGTGCGGAGCCCCCGCTCCCGCCGTCCCTCGGCAGAGGGCACCCGGCCCCCGGCGCTGCTCCGGAGCCTCCGCCGGCCAAAATCCGCCTGGCACAGCTGGCGGAGCTGGGCAAGGAGCGTGGCCAAAGTGCCTTCGCTTAAAAACCCCTGTAAAGGTTCGGTTTGGTTTTTAGCATCGCTTAGATTTGTTGTTCTGTCCTCCCTAAGACACGCAAAGCTCCTTGTGCTTTTAACGCCTGGGTTCTCTGCATTATAAAATCCAGCTAACAGAATGTTCCCGGGCTGACATCACCTCTCCCTTTCCGTGCTGCAGGAAAATGCTGAGAAGCAACAACAAACCCAAAGATGAGAAGGGAGGCCCCGGAGATGCCCTGGTCATCCCCCCGAAAGCTGAGACCCCAAAGCTGTTCAGGGCTGCCCTGGCGGCCACGGGGAGGATGGGGGGCAAGGGGCCCCTGGGGCGGCTCCGCTGGAGGCTGCGGGAGCTGCAGGAGCTGCAGGCGATGCAGGAGGCGCAGGCGATGCAGGAGGCGCAGGTCAGCACGGGGAGCACAGAGATGCGGCTTTGCTTCCCTTGGGGCCAAAAGTGCCCTCCCCACCAGCTCTGGAGTGGTTCAGGCACCTTAGAGGACCGAGCTCAGGATGTTGGGGTCTCTCAAAGCGTGGGCAGACAGGAAGGGGTGACCCAGCATCTTGCACAGGGCTTTGGTGGAGTGCCAGTGTCCCATGTTTTGCTGTACAAAAGGGAAACACATTAAATTTTTGCCTGCCTGCGCTAAGCCTGAGTCCAATTTCTAGCTGGGCTATAGCCATAGATGAATGAATGTCTTTTCTATCCTGCAGAGACAGGATAATTAGTCATAATTAATAATTATGATTAATAATTAATCAATTAATCAATGTACTGGCACCCACAGCCCAGCTGATGTCCCAAATCTTTCCCCAGGTGGCCAGGACAGGGGTGCCCACAGCCTGCAATGCCATCCTGCCACCTCTGCAGGAACCCCCTTGCTTTTTGCCATGGGCAGCTGAAAAGGAAAATGGCCCTGTTCTTTTTTCCCCCTTTTTTATTTCCAGCTGTCTCAACTAAACTTGTAAGGAAAGTTTTGTCTCCGTGCAGCCCCTGCTGTTGTTATTCTCAGCATGGAGCCAGGCACACTTATCACATGTGGATGTGCACAGGGAGTGCAGTGACCTTGAGGCTGGGTAAACACCAGGCTGATGCCAAGCACAGCTGCATTTCTGCAGCCCTCCAGAGGCTTGAGAAGCTTCAAACCATGTGGTGTTTAACATTAATCCATAACCAGCAGTGAGCAGTGGCAATGAGGGCTCTGAATGAGGGAAAAGAAGCCCTGAAACAAATGCTGAAGGGTGAATGAACTGGGAACTGACCCCACTGGTGGGTGAGCAGGACCTGCTGACATCTCTCTCCTTGGCACATCCTTGGCTGGCCTCGAATGCTCCCCTCCAAAGGAGGACAGGGCAGGCTGGGCTGCTCCCTCACAGCAGCTCTAGGGCCAGGTTTGGCCAAGACCAGCCCCTCCAGAAGCTTCAGGAGCAAACCAAGAGCTAGTGCAGAGGTGGGAGAGCTCTGCTGTGCTCCTCCCTCTGTGCTTCTCTAGACAGGCAGGATAGAATCCAGCAGCCCCTCTTGCAGGGAGCAGCTCTGGCATCAAGCTGGCATCCCAGTGTGGAGATCCCGTGGTGGAACCACAAACTCCTGTCCAGCTTTGCCATGTCAGGGGTAGTGGGCAGGGATCTGCTAAGGTTGTTTTTGCCTCTTTTTTAACTTTTCATTGCAGGGTTCCAGTGTCAGCCCAACCCCACCGAAGTCACCAGTGCACCAGAGATCTCCTGTCACATCCCGCAGAGCACAAACCCGCCCGGGAGAGGAAATATCCTCAGAATCTTCTGATCATTCAGTCACCATTCGTGTGATTTCCACAGCAAAAGAGGATGAGGAAATCCTTGCTGCTGAGATTTCAGAGAAAGATGAAAAGAAAGAAGAGCAATGAAACAGCAGCAGGGCCCAGGGCAGGCGTAGGAGTCAGGCAAATGCCTGGGCCAGCAGATTTTTGTTGTTAATGATTTCCATGCAGTGGCTGTAGGTTTTGCTATGTGCTGTGGGTAGGATCTGCCTCTTTCTTCTGCCCAGACCCTCAATCACTGCTGATAAAACCCTCTGCCATTTGACCCAGAACCATGTAAGGTTCCTCCACTCTGCAGATCTATTGAGCACCTTTATGAATTCCCCACTAAATCTCAGGTCAGCCCTCTTGCTTTGAAATCTGGCCTTGTGGAAGGAGAGCTATGTAAAAATTGCTTTTTATGGCTCTGGATGGTTAATGAGTGTTCAGACAAAGCATGAAGAGTTATTCACCTCTGACAGCTGAGTCACCACTTGGCTAGAAAAAACCAAGGGGAAAAAAAACACAACAAGGTTTCTCTGTTGGGCTCCTCAAGGTTGACAGCAGCACTGGGGAGTGATTCATCTGAAAAGGATGTGGGCTATGCTCACAGGCCAAGCTTGATTTGCTCACAGATCAAGCTGTCATGAGAATGCCAAGCTCTGTCCCCAAGTGCACAGACTGCAAGATGCCTGAGGGTCCCCTCGTGGTGCCAGGACCACCTTGGCTTTGCCACTGGGAAGAATTCCTGCTGGGAAGGTGGTGGGCTCTCCATTACTGGGGGGGCTCTTTTGGGGAGATTTGATGAGCATCTTTCAAGGATAGAGAAGCACAATCCTGGATGAGATGGATGTTCCTGGAGTTCTTTTCCAACCTTGGGATTTTTCTGTGCTGCCACTGCTGGCAGTGATAAACAGAGAGCAGGAAGGGAGAAGCAGAGTTGGCTCCCAGCTGGGAGGGGAAAGAGCAGTGCAGAAAGAGCCCTCCTGTCCCAGACAGTGCTTCAGAGTCAGCTCTGAGCCTGCCATGTGCCCTCAAGCATGCATGAGCATGCAGGGGCTCCCCTGCACTCCGTGCTGGACCTCAGTGGCATCCTGTTACAGGAGCCCCCTCGAGCCAGGTCTCACCAGCTCTCAGAGGTCTATAACACACCCAAGATAGCTCAGCTACCTTTGGAGGCATAAAAATCAGCAGGATGGCTTCTGTTGCAGTGTTGGAAACGAAAAGGTTTAATAAAAGGCAAAAAAATAGCAAACAGAGAAAAACCAAGCCAGGTGCAAGAGGTTCTTGTTCCTCATAAAACACCTCACAAGAGCAATTACTTTCTCTGTTCACTTCTTTTTCTAGTCAATTGCCCAAGTGAGACTTTTTGGCTTCTGTCCAATTAGCTGTCCTTGAGTTTGGGGGGAAGTCCCCTAAGCCTATGAGGTGGCTTTTCACCTCATTGAGGAGAGAAACTTCTGGGCTTCTTTCTTTTGAGGGGACAAAGGAAAATTTTGCCACTCCATCAACAGGGGTCACATTCCCACAGCATCCCCATTTCCAGCAGGCAATTCCCAGCCCTTCAGCCACCTCAGGCTGGCTGCTGGCCACATTTCCCAGGAGAGAGAAGCCACCCTGGTGCTGCTCAGCTCTGAAGTCATGAAGTCACTGTCCCACTGTGCTGGGGCCGGGTGCTGGAGGGGAAGGCAAACACCTGCTCAGCACCCAGCTCATGGCTCAAGGTGCCCCAGCTCCCTCCTCATCCTCCTCCAAGGCAGCGCCCAGCAGAGTGAGCTGAGAGGTGGTGAGGAGCAGTGCATGAGGTGGTGCTGGGTGAGGTTTGCAGATCCTCCCCAAGTTTTTGGCTGTCCATGTTCCCACAGAGGGGAGCCACTTTCCATCCTCGGGAGGAGAAGCTGGGGCAGGTTTTGCTGCAGGGAGCAGCCCTGTCACCGTGGCCAAGGCGCTCCCCAGGTGTTCAGCAAACGCAGGGAGCAGTGCTGCAGGTTCCACAGGTCTGGCTGGGACACAGGGAAGGGTGGCAGGGCTGCTGGCACCCCCTGGCTGATCCCTCTTCCCATCCAGGGCTGACCTTCCCCTCCTTTGGGATCTCCTTTTGCTGCTTTTTCCCCTCCTCTCTTGCAAAATGTATGGGTTTCTGTGGCAAAAAATAAAGGCAGAATAGGTGTTAGCATTAGTTAATAATGCCTTGCTTTCTTTTTAAACAAATTTAATGAGCTCCACTGTACTGCAGAAGGGTCTGAAGGATCACATTGCAGGGGAGAGCCTGCACTCACCCAAACCTCCCTGAATATTTCTCATCCTCAGACATTTGCAAGTGGTTTCCTGCCAGCTAGAAGATTTTGATGGGGAGTGAAAAGTTGTGGGTTTTTTACACTCTTTAAATATTTATATAATCAAACCAGGAAACGTGCAAAAATCGCACTGGGGCTCTGATTTACTTCTATGATTTAATATTCTTTAGAAAAAGCATTTAAATAAATAGTGGGCTGTAATTGCTCTCATAATTCACTGTATCTACAATAAACACCATGTAGATTACCATTTATTTGGTGTGGATTTATTTCAACATTCCAGCTGTTATTTTGACTTCTTGCTCACTCATGCACTGACAGAGCCAGAAAATCCTCACATGCAGTTCAGATTTCCCAATAAATAATTGAGAGGCTCAGGAGGTCACATAATATTGGTAGTAGGATTGTAATTTGTCTTTAATCACCAATAGGAGGGGAAAAAAAACTTTCTTAAATAGAAAAGATTGCTTGAAGATCTTCGTTTTCAGCAGGCAGCATGAGGTGGTGATGGATACACAACTGGTAATTCTGGAACCATGGGGAGATCTGAAATTATCCTTCTCTGTGATCTGTTTATGGCTTTAGTTCTTTGGAGAGATTATTCTCCAGGTAATAATTAAGGTCAAGGTAGGGCTAGACTTGCAGGCTGGGCTGGGAGTTGAGCTCAGGTCTGTTTGCTCTGCTCTGTTTAGAGATGACAGAGGACAGAGACTTCAGTGCCTCTTGTTTGGGGGTTGCCATGGCTTGGATTTCTTCTGTTGCATTTTTAAATTCCATTCATTTACCAGTTTTGCTGTGTTTGCAATGGGCTTCCTTTGCACTGCCTCCAATAAATACCTTGCAGAGGGCACTCATCACTCAGTGTTCCCTCCACTGCCCTTGGAACATTCCTGATGGCTTTGGTAACACTCCATGTACCTTTACTGCATTTCTTATTAGCTTTTGCTCATTCCTCTTGGTGTCCTCAAGTCTGGGGTCGATCTGATATGAGATCCTCTCTTCTATTAATGCAGCACTTAGGGAATCTTGACAGGCAGCTGCTTATTGCCATAGAAACCAGGTTTTCTTGCAGTGATATTTTAGCTGTTGCAGCTTTTTAGTGAAATGAGTGGAATAGAGAAGTGCTGAAGGAAGAAGAAGAGCTTGTCTTTGGAGCTGTAGGAATGTGGAAGGTTTTGCCTCACTGTCACCAGTAGCATATATATGCTGTTTATATTTTTATATATGGAATTTTTTTATATATATACTGGGGGTGTATTCATATTCCTTGTGGCCTGTGTCTTTCAGAGAACTGACACTGATTCAATGTTCTGTAGGAAGTTAGAGAAGACAAATGTCTCCCATTAGAAAAATCAGCTGACAGAAGGAATAGTACAACCCACCACAGACACCTGGCAGTGAGGGAAGTTATTTTCCCCTGGACAGAAACAGGGCAGGTAGCTTCTCTGTATTTATAGCCAGAGAAATCTTTTAAAAAGATTAAGTGCAATTGCAGGTTAATCACTGATAAGGTTGTAACGAAAGTAAAAGCAAATAAGCAGGTTTGGGGATTAGACACAGGTCCAGAAAGAAATTGCAGGATAAATGGAAAGCCCAGTTAAATGGTGTTTAATTAGGAAGCTTGAAATAAAATTAAGCACTTCAACCTTGAAACCTGCAGACCTTAGCCAGCAGGACACACTCTTAGTTTGGGAACAGTCTGTAACCCACTTTTTCTGTCTATATATATTTTTTTCCTTTGTGTAGCTCTGCTTTGAGTGACACTTGCATATAAATCTGTCTGAATCCCTTTTGCCTTCCCCTAAAATGGAGCTGATACAAGTCTGGTTTTCTCTGCTCCGAGCACACAGCTCCTTTTTAGTGCAGTAATGGTCCCACTGGAGTTAGCACCCTGAAAAAACACCAGACCACCTTTTGGAAAGGGGCCATACAGAGGCTCACAACCATTGGATGCCCATGGCAGCTCCTGTTAGCAGCAGCTGAGGCTGAGCTCAGGCTCAATGACCTTTCCTTTTCTCATTCTTTCCTCATTTACCTGTTCTGGTTTTGGGATGAAACTTGCCCACTTTGGTTCATGCCCTAGGGTGAATGTCTAAGGGGGATCTGTGCAGTATCAGGGTTTGATCATCTGAAGAATTGAAGACTAGAAACCTTTGTTCTTTCATGCAGTTTTCCCTGCTCTTAGAAGTCCCTTGAGGCATGAGAAGAGCTGGAAGTGGAACAGTTAAAGGCTCAAAACTGTTTTCTTGGAGAAACTGGAAGAAATTTGAGAAGAAATGTAAACAACTGGGGGAGTGAGATAAATCAGGTCGTGGGGATGCCAGGGAGCACCCCTGCAGCTGGGCTGTGACATCCTGGGGACAGCCAGCGTGGCCCAGATGGCTTCCCAGGGTTTGCAGATGCTCGTTTTGCAAAGCTGAGCCCAGCAGGACGATCCCTGCTCCCTCCCCTGCTCTGTTTGCCAGCAGAGGTGGGGAGGGCTGGCTCTGCCTCCCGCAGTGGGGCCGATCCTGGGGCTGGGGAGCACCCGGGGCATCCTGGAGCCCCCAGGGATGATCTGGGGAGCATCGCCTGGACGGCCCGAATTGGCCCCATGGTGAGCATCCCATGAGCTGCCCCAGATGCCTCAGCAATAAGCAGAGGAATGAAGACCAGCCAGAGCAGTCACTCATTCCAGATACGAGGCTCTTTTGTGCTGCAGAAATGCCAAAATCACGTGCAAATCCCTCCGCTGCCATGGTTACTGGCCACCGGCAGAGCCGCGGGCAGGCGAGAGAGGCTGTGGCATTGACAGGGCTCCTGCTCCTCCTTTATAGGGGAAAACCCATAAAAGCTGCATTCTGCCCCAAAAGGGAGGGGAGGTGGCATTGACAGGGCTCCTGCTCTTCCCTTCATAGGTGAAACCCCATAAAGCTGCATTCTGCCCCCAAAGGGAGGGGAGGCGGCACTGACAGGGCTCCTGCTCCTCCCTTTATAGGGGAAAACCCATAAAAGCTGCATTCTGCCCCAAAAGAGAGGGGAGGTGGCACTGACAGGGCTCCTGCTCTTCCCTTCATAGGGGAAAACCCAAAAAAGCTGCATTCTGCCCCAAAAGGGAGGGGAGGCGGCTGCAGGGAGCCCTCTCCACACCTGGCATCCCGATGCTCAGAGCTGCCGATGGAGGCTCTGCCCGGCCCTGCCCGGCCGCTGGGCTTTGCACTCTGGGTTTTCTGAATTCCTCACTCACAGCCGGAGATATTACTAAAAAAATGAGAAATTGGTGCTGCGGCTTGGGTGGGCAGAGATCAGCTGTGCCCCATTTCCTGTTTTTCTGGCATTAGGAACAGCTTGACCTCTTGGCACTCTTGCTTTTTGCACTAATGCTCTTCTCATTAAAGTGCTTTCCTGAGCACTAATTAGGGCGGTTTTCCTTTTGTAAATTAGCCTGATACGATCTGTGTGTCTTGGCAGACACCCTCGGAGCAGGAACCCAGGGCTTTGCGTTTGATCGCTGTTTATTTTGCAAATCTCCCCAGTTTCAATGTTCTTAACTGCCTTCTAGAAAGTGCTGGCAGGTGGAGATAATTGGGAGGGAAATGGGGCTTTCCAGCTGGCATGCCTTGAGAAACAGGAGACTTTTTGGTGCTACAGGGGCCTTCCAGTGGGTGGCTGGGTTAATGGGGTGCTGTGGGCACCCAGAAGCTCCTTCCCATCCCATCTTGGCATCCTTGTGCAGGAGGAGCAGGGCTGCAAGGAGAGGCACTGCCTGAACCAACCTCTTAACAGGCAATAGGAAAAAGAAAATCAAATTAACACATTCATTTTCTGCAGTTAAAGCACTTCTTGTGACCACAGGAAACGCTCAGACCCCAAAGCAACCCCAAACCCATCTAGCACTGGGTGTCTGTGGGCAGAGGGAAGTCCACCTGGCTGCCACTGCCCCCACATTGTGGTGTCAGCAATTTGCTGGGACCAATGGTGCTCGGGAGGGGATGGACTTTAATCAGCTCTCGTTTTCCTAATGCTCTGGCAGATGGGAGCAGAGGGCACGGAGCTCTCCCTGACTCTGGCCACGGATGGGACAGAGCACAAGAGATGGGCTGAGCAATTCAGTGGGGAAGGCAAGGCTGGGTGCAGAAGCCATCCTCTGGCCTGGCTTGCTGGGGAGGCTGGAGCATCCCTGGGCAGCGCCACCACCCTGTCTGCACCAGCACTGGGACCCTCCTGGGACCAGGCACCGTTAGGGACCATCTGCACCACAGCATTGACTGGTCCCCAGTAGGGAGGAACTGCAGGGGGCTGCACTCAGAGACCCCTGAGGCTGGGACAGAGCCAACAAAGCCCCTGATGAAAAGCCAGCGATTTTCCAGTGCTGCTGTGCCAGCCCTGTGGCACCAGGTGTGGGAAAGCACAGGGAAGGGTCCCACCCCAGGGAGCTGCTGCCAGCATCAGCCAGCCCAGCTCGCTCCTGGTGCCTGAGAGGGGCTGCCCACAGACCAGACCCCGAGCTCAGGGCCCCTTCCCAGGCTGTGCTGAGCCATGCACACCCTGTGGGTGCTGGCAGGACTGTCCATGCAGGGCTGGAGCAGCAGGAGGAGCAGGATGCAGGCTGTGGAGAGCATCCCTGCCCACGGCGAGGAGCACTGCAGACCCATGGGCACCATGAGGACACTCACCTGTGCAGGAGGATGCTTCCAGAAAAAGTGCCCAGGACCAGGGTTGGCCTGGATGGCTCCACAGGTGAGAGCAGTGGTGGGGGCTGAGGGCAAGCAGGGCATTGTCTGTGTCAAAATCAAAGGCTTGGGATGAAAACCAGCACAATGCCTTTGGGTTGGAGTTGTTTGCACACAGGCTCTGTGTTTGTTTTGCTGTTGCTTCCTGGGGGGTTAATTCAGCTGCACATTTTGTCTGGTGGGCTAAGGATGAAGGTAAGTGAATAGAGATGCCTGAGCCCCAGAGAGCCCTGGTCCCACCTCTGCTGGGTGCCCTGGCCATGCCTTGCTCCCACCTTGTGTCCCATTTCCTTCTCCATCTCACCCCTCTTGGATGTGCAAAGAGATGTGGAAGCCCAGGAAGCTGGCAGCTATTCATTCCACCTCAGCCTGCACAAACCCTGCCTGCACTGCCAGCTTTTCCTTAATGTCTCCTTGTTTTTCCAGTTGGGAGTGATTGCTGAAGGGATCCCCTGGCAGAGAAGACTCAGGTTCACCCTTCACATCCCGTTCACCTCTGAGGCACATGCATGAAAATCTGGGTGTGGGTCTGCTCC